CAGTTTAACACGCGACCAATATTCATAGTCAAGGTTTTTTGGGTTAGAGCGCGTAAGTATAGATGCCACTTTCTTCAAATTTTCTTGCTGTGGATTTCGCACCTGATGATGATTGCTTGTGTTGCAGTCGAAACGTCGTGAGAATTTTTATTACTTTATATTTTTATTATTTCCCTTCTACGTGACTTTACCAAAAGAACCAAGAATAAGTATAGATGCATTCTTTCGTTCTTTCGGTAAAGTCACGTATAAAGATAAATAATAAATTAAATAATACCATACGACGTTTCGATTGCAACACAAGCAATCATCATCAGGTATAAATGAAATAGCAACAAAAATCTAACCAGAAAACTATAGACAGACATATAAGCAGACAGATATCACCAAGATACACAGAGAGAGCAACCCAGGTACAGAGAGGGGTGATCGTCTCTGTGGGGTGGCCTTAAATAGGCAGAGGGGGGCGGAGGCAGAGAGAGGGAGGGGTTAGAGAAAAAATGTACGTGTCAATGAGTATGAAGAGACGCGTAGTAAAGTACGCAGGCTTGAACATTAGGAGAGAGGGAGAAAGAACACACTAAATTAAATAACCTAGCAAAATATCGAAATGTAATGTAATACAACACAGAGTCGGTCAACACACAATTAACGCATAGCCTGGTCGATTACGTATTTCAAAGATTGCTAAGTTAGAATTTAAGTGTGAAAATTCCAAAGAAAGACAAAACATAAAAACAAGAGGAACGGAGACACACAGACAGAGCAGAACATAAGAACGACACAAATTCTAACTTAGCAATCTTTGAAATACGTAATCGACCAGGCTATGCGTTAATTGTGTGTTGACCGACTTTGTGTTGTATTGCATAACATTTCGATACTTTGCTAGGTTATTTAATTTAGTGTGTTCTGTCTCCCTCTAAGCCTGCTTACCTTACTCCCCTCCCTTCGTACTCATTGACATGTAAATGTTTTCCCTACCCCCTCCCTCTCTCTGCCTCCGCCCCCCTCTGTCTATTTAAGGCCACCCCACAGAGACGATCACCCCTCTCTGTACCTGGGTTGCTCTCTCTATGTATCTTGGTGATATCTGTCTGCTTATATGTCTGTCTATAGTTTTCTGGTTAGCTTTTATGTCGCTATTTCATTTATACCTGATGATGATTGCTTGTGTTGCAATGGAAACGTCGTATGCTATTATTTTATCTTTATACGTGACTTTACCGAAAGAACCAAAGTATTATTCCTGCAGTCACGAAAGCTTCAAAATTAAGAAAGTATAGATGTGTCGTAACCCTCCACCACTCGACACAGGCTAGTAAGGTTTGTCACGTCAACAACGCACACAAGTCGATTTCATCGCCTCCATCTCTTCGATTGACGTCCTCTCTGTTGAGTTCCCGCCTTTGGATGGCACTCCACCATGAGTCTCAACCACAGAGGTCGCAACCGGGTACCCGATACCCGTACCCTACCCGATACCCGGCTACCCGTACCCGGCCGGGTACGGGTACCCGTTTGCGACCCTGGTGCGGCCAGGTACGGGTATGGGTAGGCCGTGAGTCACTGGTGAGTAACTGTTTGTCACTCATTTCCCAACGTCTTGTCTCTTCTCACAATTCAAGTTCCTAGAATCAACCCACCCGCGCCTGCAACATGGCTTCATCCCAGAGGTCGCAACCGGGTACCCGATACCCGTACCCTACCCATACCCGGCCGGGTACGGGTAGGGTACGGGTACGGCCGGGTATGGGTACGGGTACCCGTTTGCGACCCTGGTGCGGCCGGGTACGGGTAAGGAATCAAAGCCCGTTTGCGACCTCTGGTCTCAACCGCTGGACATTATCTCCTTGAGTGACGTGTCCCACCACAAGCTGCTTTACTGCTTTAGGATAGAAAAATATGTAATCGCCTAATGCTTTTGGAAATAGTCTTTTCTATTTTATCTGCGTGATCTTTCAAGGCACCGTTAATGATGAATGTCATTGTTTAGTCACAAAATAATAATCCGTTTCCAGCCATCACCGATTAGCACGGTTGCCGATGTATTGTGCAAAATAAGTTCAACGTACATACACACACACACAACAACATTTGCCGTGCGCTGAACGACAATCGCTGTGCGCGTTTAAATGCGCATCTCGCCTCTTTGCGGCAGGTGACAACGCGAGCCCTGCCGGTGGTGGCAGCAGCTGCGGCGACGCTGGCAGCTCTACCGGCGGCGGTGGCGGCGGCGGCGGCGGCGGTGGCGGCGGCGGCGTCTCGGCCGAGTCCCTGATCACGCCGCGCGATCGCATCTTCATGAGCCACCTCAGTGAGCGGCTCGGCTTCGGAGAGAAGCTGTGGAGCCACTCTCCCGTCCGCTGGTCGTCGTCCTCCTCGGTCGACCCCGCCACGGTGACTCCCGCCGACGATGCCGAAGCCGACGATGAGGATGCCGACGATTTCGACGATTCCGATGCCGACGATGCGGGCACGGGAGAGCGGGCGAACCGGCCCGAGGGCTCGCACGGAGCGGCCAGAGCGGGCGGGGAAGAGGAGCCCGGAGAGAAGCGCGGCTCGCCGGCCCGGGACGGGGCACGGCGACTCAGTGGGTGAGCGACGCCACGACCACCGCCAACCACGAGTTCCGCTGCTACCGCCGCCACCACTATCACTGCCGCCACCACTATCACCGCCGCCACCACTATCACCGCCGCCACCACGAGCGCTAGCACTGCCACCACTACCACCGCCACCACCACTATCACCAATACCACCACTATCACCGCAGTCACCACTATCACCGCCGCCACCACGAGCGCTAGCACTGCCACCACTATCATCGCCGCCACCACTATCACCGCCGCCACCACTATCACCGCCGCCACCACTATCACCGCCGCCACCACTATCACCGCCGCCACCACGAGCGTTAGCACTGCCACCACTACCGCCGCCACCACCACTATCACCGCCGCCACCACGAGCGCTAGCACTGCCACCACTACCACCGCCACCACCACTATCACCAATACCACCACTATCACCGCCGCCACCACTATCACCGCCGCCACCACGAGCGCTAGCACTGCCACCACTACCACCAATACCACCACTCACACCGCCATCACTCGCACCTCTGCTACCACCACTACCATCACTACTAACACACCACTACCACCGCTACCACGAGCATCACAACCATTACCACCACTATTTGCACGAGCACTGCCACCACTAGCACTTGCACCACCACCAACCACCACTACCATCACTACCACCACTACTGCTATCACCACTACCACCAACACCACGACCACTACTACCGCTAGTACTGCCACCATGCCTGTCCGCCTTTATCTTCCCAGTGCTTATGTTTAGACACTGCACCAGGTACTCGTGTAAGGCTGAGTCAACCTAGCGGAGGCTCAAGACCGGTTCGGATATATTCGCCGTCGATGTTGGCCACGAGTGGGAATCCAACTCAGGTCGCCGGGTCTGTAGAGCAGTGCGCTAACTGCTCCCAAAAGGGAGAAGAGAGCGTGCACACACACACACAAAGACAAAGATCGCCCGTATAGCCTTAACAGACTTGGGGCAAGTGCTGTTAGCGAGCACCTATGAAGGCCCGAATAATACATGAGGGGGTGGGTGGCCAGCACCACGCCCGACCGCCTTTCTCTCTCCAGTAGCGATGTTTACACACTGCACCCGGTACTCACTGCAGGCCAAGTCGACCTAGGGGAAGCCCAGGCCGGTTCAGATAATCGTCGCTGGTGTTGGCCACGAGCGGCAATCAAACCCGGGTCGCCAGGTTCGCAGCGCGCTAACCGCCACACTATCGCTCTGCACACACACACACGCATGCACGCATTGGCACATACACACAAAGACAGGGACCCCCCATATAGCCTGCACAGGATGTCGGGGCAGGTGCCGACCTAGATATCAGCCGAAAACCTTTGGGGGGGGGGGGGAGAGCTTGCCAACCACCACCTCACTGCCAGCTGCGAGTCTCGAAGAGACGGGTGTTGAAGTGAACAGCGGAGGGGAGAGCGCTCGCTGTCGGACACGGTGACGAGACGGTGGGAGATCGCAGGCGCGGCCATTCATCCCCGTCTCTAGCGGACAAGTGGCGCAACAGCTCTGCGCGTTATTGAGGGACTACGACGACTGTGTGGCGTTGTTGTTCCCTTGGTGTGGTCTGGGACTGTTGTTGTTGTTGTTTTTTTGCTGCCTTGCCCCCCCCCCCAAGCTTGATAAATTGGACTTGTAAAATAATAATTTCATTATTTAATGACTTTAGTGACTTTTGCACTCCTATCGTTGTTTTTCGTGAATTGTTTGCTGTTGTGACTCGCTGACCCACCCATACTGGACATGTGCGAAACAGAGCTTCATAGCCCATCGGATTCCTCCTCCGGTCTAAATAAAGATTCTGATGATTCTGTATAACGAGACGGCGCCACAAGTCACCGCTGCCGCCGCTCTTGAAGACCCTCGCGGTTCACCGGGGCAGCATAGAGCGGTTCTCTTAGTCTTCTCTTCTCTACTGCTTCTTTCTTTCGTCTTCTTCTTTTCGTCTCTTCTTCTTTTCTTCTCTTCTTCTTATCATTATTATTATTTTATTCTTCCATATGCCTGATGTAGATGCAGAACAACGACTACAAGTGCACATTCAGGTGTTCAAGCCAGATAACCGGGTCGGGAGCAGCGGAATGTTTCGCCGTGATGTCTCCTTTGTATCTGTGCATCGGGCACTGCGTCGCTATACGTTGCACGGTCCGGTCTGGATGACCGCGGTCGCACACTACCGGAGAGTTTTTAATTCGACATTTGTGCATCCAGTATCCGCATCTGCCACGGTGTGTGCAGTTGGATGCCGTTTATGGTGAATCGTGAGCTTCGTGAAAGATCAAACCCAGAGATCTTCTGCGTTCGGGCCTTTTACGATCGGCGTTTGCGAAGGGCGCGTACTTGCGAACGGTGAAGCTCACGCCGCTCCCCATGTGCAGGTTGGGACCCCTGTTGGGCGCGGGCAGTGGCGTTGCCATCGCCATACCGAGGCTCAGGCTGACGATGAACTCTGGTGAGTGCCTCTTCCTCAATGCACACTTGGGCACTGCTCACCCCTCACTCGGACGCTCTGCACGAAAGACAAAGATCTCCCTCCACCCCCCCCCCCCCCCCCGTATAGCTCACACACTCACGCACGCATTCTCAGTCGCACACACACGCTCACACAACGCACACATCATGTCCGCAAGTAGCGGGCTTGTCCTCTACTGCGATGTCCCGAGTGTCCTTTTGTGCGTTTCTCATTGTCCCGCAGAGTGTCTGTATCAGGAATACCGCACCGAGACCATCGTGCAGACGCTGCTACGGCAGCGGTGCCACGACGGGGAGGGAGGCACCGAGTTGCATGGCCACTTTCAGCAGCTGGTGGCGTCCATAACGCTGGACAACAACAATGGCAGCAGCGATAGGAGCGGCAGAAGCTCGCCACCAGTACGACAGCCGTGTCTGGGACTACAGGACTCCACAACGGTAACATTTGCAGCCAGAAACGCCCGTGGTTAATTACGCGAAGTAACAATCATAATCATGGTAATCTTATTTGTTAGCTTTATGTAGGTGTTTTCAGCCAATTGGTGAGTGTTTCCCATGGTCTAGAAGCACACGCGTATGTGTAATTGTCAGGACACAATGCTAAGCAAGGAAGGACCTCCACTAGAGGGGAGCTCCAGAGAAACGCTCTGAGAGACTAACTATGGGAGCTTTGTGCCAGTATCCAAAATGATGAAAAAATAAGAATAGGTTTTACACCTCTCTGCCAATAAAACAGGAGTTGTGTAAAGATGTTCAATCACCAAATAGATGCCTTTTGCAAGGCATCAAGTCTGCATTAACCACATGAAGTACTTGTGGCAGAACATGCAAAACAAACATGCTCTGATAATATTTGCATTGTCTTTGAAACTGATTGGCCTACACCAGAGACAGCCCTTCTTGAGAGACTATATGACCTACTCTTCCACGCCGACCAGACGCGTTGGAAGAGGTGAGAGTTGCCCACACTTTACCCCACCATGTATGCGACCTACCCATCGACTGCTGCTCGGTGAACAGAGGCGGAGGGTGCATTCAAGAAACTTGCAGCAGCGTCTCAACTGCTGCGCCGTTGAGAACTTAGCGACATTTGGAGTTCAGTGTGATAACCGTTACAACCACAGCAGCATCCTCAATGCTAAATGATATATGGGCAATCCCACAGGAGCCGAATCGCAAGAACTCGCTGCATTCTCTGCCCGACTTAAACATCACTACTCGTCAGGGTCGTGCCGAATTTATTTTAGAGGGTGGTGCCACATCGCGGAAGTATAAAAACAAACGTCGCTCGGATTCTGTTTGCCGCGACTCCGACCGCGCACCGCGCGTGACAGTTCTTCATCTCCTCCCGTCGGTCAAGGGCCCCCTCGAGCTCCCTCCGCAGCAATCGAATGGCGCGGTGCCGGCGATCTGCGCGCCGCCCGTCCACCCCGGGCCATCCCTGGACACCCCCAGGCCACCGGAGAAGGGCCCCGTGTTCGAGTTTTGGCACACTGCTGCCCGAGGTGCAGAGCAGCCACCTCCTCTCCACGATGACCCAAGAGCAGATCAAGCTGCAGGAGGTACTTTGCACCGCCCCCTCCATCCCGCCCCCACCACGTGTTGTGCGACAGCTTCCCGATCGCTTAGAGCCGGGGCCATCCAATTATTTCGCGAATCGATGAGTCGGTCATTTCTCATCTCAAACGAGCTTTGAGACGGTTGGATTGTTCATCTCCCGATTACAGGCCTGGACCGGTGGTGGTGGAAATTCCGCATGAATGTGGCGGGGGGAAGTATATCCATAGCACCAGCGTTGTGCTTCTTTCGTATTGGCTGATGTAGATGCAGAGCAACAATTGCACATTGAGGTGGTCAAGCCAGATAACCGCGTCAGGGGCAGCGGAGTGTATCATCGCTGTGATGCCTCTTTCGTATTTGTGGATCGGGACGTTGTTGACTGCCACACAAAGTGGTTCTCATTTTGTGAACCCCCGGAGGGGATGGCAGGGGCTGCGTCAAACCCCTCCCCCCTACCCCAACCCGGACCGGGTGTTGAACTCACAACCGTCCGATCGCGAGCCACGAGACCCACCGCTGGGCCGCACAATCGATTACTCTGCCGATTGGCAGTTTCATGACTAGCCTCGTCGTCTAAAACAGAAAATAGTTCGGAAGATATTTGTCACCTCTTTCCCCCACGATCAATGTAGCCGGTGTTCAAGAGGGCGAGTCCCGAACAGCAAATCTCTCTTGTAGCTCCGTTTTCTTGCACAGGTCGACGTTGACCAATTTCTCTTGTAGCCCCGCCCACCACCCCCACGTTCCATTCCCTGGTCACCACATTCAGATAAGCCCCTCCCCCTTTAACTTGTATTTAAGGGCTGGTTTTTTGGAATTTTCCTCACTTGATGCAGTAATTTTAGCTGTGATGGTCCCACCTGATGACGAGGACTTGTGTTGCCTCCGAAAACCTCGTGATTTATTATTTTATTTTATTTCCATTATTACTTTTATTAACTTTTAATTTTATTTTTTACCTACGTGACTTTACACGAAAAAACCTAAGAGTATGAATCCTTGCAGTCACGAAAGCTTCAAATCTAGAAGCAAATCTAAACTCGAGTTCCGTGCATAGTGGCGGACGGACGGACGGAGGGCGGTAGCGCACGGCTTTAGTTGGCGTAGGGCGTGCTTTTGTAAATATACGCGCGACTACGGTGAACGTGTTGGGTGTTTGCACCGCTCCCTGCTTGCGCCCAGGCCATGTTCGAGTTGATCACGTCAGAAGCGTCGTACTTGCGGAGTCTGCGCGTCGCCACGGAGGTGTTCATCGACAACCCTGACGTGAACGAGGTGCTCCCCTCCTCGCAGAGACACTTCGTCTTCTCCAACCTCCAGGAGGTGAAGGCAGTGAGCGAGAGGTGAGGGCACCGGCTCGGGCCGCCACTTCTTCTCATTCTCCCCCTTCCCCCCTCCTCCCCTCCTCCTCCCCCTCCTCCTCCCTCCTCCCCTCCTCCTCCCCCTCCTTCTCCCCCCCCCCCTCCTCCTCCCCCACTCCTCCTAATTATAAAGAGATGATGGTTAATGATGGTAATTATGATACCATAGATCACGTAGGATCGTGATGGTGGTTGTGATAGCTAAGATGGCATTGATGATGATGAAGATAATGAGGATGATGATAATGATGGTTATGATGATGACTGATGATGGTGACGATGATAATGATGATGATGTTGATAATGTCGATGACTTGATGACGACGATGATGATATTGTTTTTGTCATCGTTGTCACCGATGATGTCGAAGAATGCTCGCGGAGCTTGAGGAGCGCCTGGGTCAGAGCGTGGAGATCTCGGACGTGTGCGACATCGTGTACAATCACGCGGCCAAGAACTTCCGCTGCTACGTCAAGTACATCACCAACCAGCCCTACCAGGAGCGGGCGCTACGCACGCTCTCGTGAGTCCTTCGCTCCCCACACACGCAACTCACGCGCACACGCGCTGGCAGTCACACATGTGCTCGCACTCACACACGCACAAGTACAAGAAAACTCTGGACCAGCTTTGATACACACCGTTCATCAACAGTCGGGCGCATATCTCTCCGAGATGTGCGCGTTAGTTCGACGCAGCATGCAAACTAAACTCTACAGGCGTCAGGGTCGGGATTGAACCCACGACCTCCTACGTACCAGGTGAGGTAGTTAACACCTTGCATGACCCGTCACATGCCTACCGCCTTCTTAACTTGCGAGGGGGGGGGGGGGGGATCTTTATATATTTTGTCTGCGGGTGCAGAAATGAAACGCCACAGTTCAGTCAGATTCTCGACCAGGCTGATCAGTGAACCCCGCTGCAAGAACCTCCCGCTGTCGTCCTTCCTCCTGCTGCCCTTCCAGCGCATCACGCGCCTCAAGCTGCTGGTGGAGGTGAGAGAGGCGCTGCCACGTGAGGGCCGTTTGACAAACGAGTCCCATGGCCTGGCACGTATATATTTACATCCTGTTCTGCTCTTGTATTTTTTCAGAATATCCTCAAGAGGACGGAGAAAGGCACGCAAAGATACCAGAACGCGCAGAGGGCTAGCAAGCAATTGGAAATGGTAAAAAGTTAAGATCGCAATCTTTCCTGAATGACACACATCTTGTTCGCACGCTTAATGTGTGGGTCGTAAAATCATCGCTCCAGTGCGAGTTACTTGTGCTTCATATCGGCTTTTGTGAAGGAAAACGATGTCATAAAAAGAATAATATTTGGCTGCTCTAAATTTCCACATCATAAGCCACTTTGCTGAACTATCATTTGTGGCCAGGTTGCTTCTGAAAAAGATCTATACAGCTCAGTGGGCCTTACCTGTTAAAAAAAATAGAATAGGCAATATTTTGGGGAGTGTGTGATGCCGTTCAAGGAATTGTTATGAACGAACGTGGTGAGTTTTTTTGGTTAATTTGTGCTTGTGCACCACTGTCAGTGCAGCAGCAGCAGCATCATCAAATAATTTGCCAATGCAGCGTCCATGAAGGATGTGAAATTGAATTTAGTTTTTAGGTTGAATATTATGTCATTCCGACCTGGATTTTGCACTCACGACCAACCGAAACTTACAATCACTAGTGTCACATCAACGTGATCAAAATTCGTGTCATAAAGAAGTTACCACCAAGTCATCATTACACCATTTATTCAGGACAAAGTCTCTAAATTCTTTTTTTCAGCAGCGTCCTTTATTGAGATGTTTTTTCCAATTCCATTTGTAATGAGTCTTTGGCTTGAGGGAGGAAATGAGGAAACCCAGAGAAATCCCACACACAGGAGGTAATAACACTCACAGGAGGTAATAACACTCACAGGGTCCGTGCAGAGGGGGCTCAGAATACTTTTTCTGTACTGCCACTTCCTGTCCAACCTCGTAACCCAGTGATAAATCGTGCACCCCGACAGCTGAGCCCACCAGCGGTTTTCACATGCATCAGGCACGACAGTGAGCAAGTTAACCTTTTCTCTTTCCGAGATTAATGCAAGTTTCAGGGTGGGGCCCGTTCACCGTTGAATCTTAGAACATGCAAGCGGTTAGCGTAAACTTTATTTAGAGGCATATTGCCGCTGTTTTTGAAGACATTGTACTCACCGCAGAGAACCTGTAGCGACACGACCGCAACTCTACGACAGCCGGCGCCAAACTGTGCCACACGCCCTCCCGCATGGCCTTGTGAGAGCCTCGGCACCGATCAAGTTATTTTATTTTAGTTTTTCTTCCGATTTAGTTCCGATGATGCACACGTACGTACGTCATTGGAACACGCACGCCATCGGAACGGAATTGTAAGAACGGCTGATGACGTACACGCGTACGCCATTGGAATGGGAAAGAGGTTAATGGTGCCGGATTAGCGCCGTTGCCGTGTTGGACGGCAGCGGAGGAGTCTCGCGCCAATGCTGCCCCACCCGTCCCCCCGTCCACCCTTGCCGCAGTGCATCATGGAGTGCAACGACGGTATTCTCAAGATGAGCCGGACGGAGGAGCTCATTCACATCGAGAAAACGCTCGAGTTCAAGGACAAGGTATGCGCCACATTTCCCCCCCCCCCTTCCCTTTCGGACACGCGTCACATCGCCCCCCCCCCCCTGTGCACCTTTGTGCACGCCGCCACGACGACGGGAATTGCGTTGCCACGTTGCCCCACGGCCGCCGCGAAGTGAGCCGCTCCGATTCGCGAGCCGTAAGTGACGGTGGCCAGCAGGGGCAGCGCTTGCCTGCTACCTAGCAGCAGTCTGTAAGGGGCGATACGGCAGAACGTCGTCCGTGTGTGCCTTCTGGCTTTTTTCGCGCGCGTGCAGTCGGTGCCGATCATATCGCACTCGCGATGGCTCTACAAGCAGGGAGAGCTGATGGAGATGCACCAGGCGCAGAGCATGACTCTCCGCAGCAGCAAAGTCAGCTTCAAGCCTCTCTACCTGTTCCTCTTCACCGACCTCCTGCTCTTCGCTCGCAAGAAGGAGTGAGCTCGCAATTGATAATTGGTTATTTACCCTTCTATCTGGCAACAAAACTGACACCTTTTTTACAAGGAGTCATGTTTGCATAGACCACAATACCTGCAGTCATAATGCAAACAAAAAACATAACTCTGATAATGTATGCACTGTCCTTGAAGTTGATTGGTCCACACCCGAGACAAAAAAAAAATGTGTCAGTTTTGTTGCCAGATAGAAGGGTAAAAAACCAATTATCATATTTTTTTACTTCCTGCACGTTTCATTCGATTTCTTACCCCCATGAATCGCTTGCAGGTGTCCACCAGGGTTTTTGAAGCCTCGTCGCCGAACGAGTGGCAAAGGAAAAGCGCGTCGCGGGGAGAGCGCAGCGGGGCATTACAGCGACGTAGCGTAGTGGGCACGGACCCCTCGTGCGTGGAATTAAATGGGGCCCGATGTAAAAGCAGCGAGAAAGGCCCCCGCCCGGTTACGAGTTTACAGGTTTCCCTCGCCTTTTGCGGGAGGTGCGTTGCAAAAATAATTGGCGCACAAAGCTAAGCCGCACGAGACGGCTGCCTGCTGAGTAGCGCACAGAAGATACATACAGTACACTCACAATGTTGTCCCATGTCCGTCCGCATAGCCGCATGTAGAGTAACTTCTAACCGCTTATCGCGAATATTGGGTAGAAATAGGTTTAGTCGCGTATACGGCACGAAATCCCACAAACCGAACCCACGTCGAGCGAAGGAAACCTATTTATAGCAATTTGGGACACTGCAGAGGCGAGATGTTAACTCCTTTGGCTGGTACGCAGGAGGTCGTGGGTTCAATCCTTCCCCCCCCCGTCCCCCCTGCCCCCCCCCCCCACATTCCCACAGCCACCTCAGTGCCAGCACCGCCGCCCCACCAAATGTCTTAAGCCTCCAGCCCCCGCCGGTTTTCATGCCGTGTGCCCCCCCCCCCCCCCCCCCCGGCTGTGTTTGCTGCAGTGCCGGGACACGCTTTCTGGTGTTTGAGCACGCGGAGCTGACGGCCGTGTCGGTGAACGAGCAGCAGCCCATCCAGAACCACAGGCATCTTGTCCACCTCAAGGTTAACTTGGACAATCGCAAGAGGCGCAAGGCGTTCATCCTCAAGGCGCAATCGGAGTGGGTCGCACGCTCGGCAACTCCGTCATTCCTCCCTCTTCCTTATTCCAAGTCCTCTGATCATCTCTCTTACCAAGTTCTTACAATAATGCTCGTTTCAAGAAACGTGTTCACTCTTTGTCTATTAAGCCTTCAGTGGTGTCGTTTGTTGCTGGCCGCTTGGCGTTTTGGACCTTGGGGGCCCTGTGCTCGGCCACTTTGATTTGAAAAAGAGAAGCTCAAAGTCCCTTTATTGTATGGGTTTGGCCGCTTCGATTTTCTGTCCCCATGTGTTATGTATGTACGTTCAACTTCTTTTGCACAATACGTAGCCAACTGCTAATCAGTTCTAGACAAATTCGTTTTCAATCTATAAAAGTGCATAGCTCCAGCGGCTTCCTAATATCAGAAGGAAAGAGCCTTCCAGACGGCCGCAGAAGCGGATCTGAAAACGTACCATTCGGCGACCAACTTTGTTCGATGGCCAGCCAGAAGATGTTGCTGCAAGGATGACCGGAGTTCGCCTGATGATGGTTTATGCTCCTTCTGTTCTGTGCCTCTTCTCTTGTCAACTCCACTGTCCTCACATCTCGTTCCACCGCATCCCTGCCACCTTGCCCTCAGGTCTCACTCAAATAATTCCGCCTTGCACCGGCAAATGCAGTCACATCAAATCTTTCTGATATAATGGCACTAATAAGTGTCAAAATAATTACGCGTATTAGTATCATTATATTGACACTAGTACACGGTATCAATAATGACACAAGTACTCAGATTGTAAATGGTGTGGCTTGGCTCTCCAATGCACCGGTGTGCTGTACTAGTAGCGAATTTGGCATGTTCTGTTTACGTGACAAACCTTACTAATTGGCTGTGTCGGGTGGTGGCGGGTTTAACGACACATTTATATATTTACGCGATCTAACCCAAAAAACCTGTTATAGATAATGACACTTATGCTGGACTCCCAGTGGCCTTCGAAAATCAATAAAAAATGTGACCACTCCTCTGTGAGTGATGCTGTTGGCAGAGCACTCACTTGAAAAGTTTTAATATTTGGACTGACTCAGCCCATCATCTTCCCTCTGGGGTTCTGATGAAACGATTACCACTTTCATGAATAGATGGGTCCCCCCTGGCCTAGGAATGTGGAATTTCTACCACTGGTTCAGGGACGTCGGTGGAAATCATTTTCACCCGATTATGATAATTGGTTTTTTACCCTTTTATCTGGCAACAAAACTGACACCTTTTTTACAAGGAGTCATGTTTGCATTGACCACAATATCTGCAGTCGGAATGCAAACAAAAAAACATAACTCTGATAATGTATGCACTGTCCTTGAAATTGATTGGTCCACACCCGAGACAGCTTTCTTTAGAGCCCAGTCTCATATGGTGTTGGACCAGATGACCCCGATTGTTGGTTTCAGCAGGAGGGAGAGCTTTTGCCTTAACTTCACCCGAACTTAGTGTCCATGACTCGTTGCCTCCCTCTGTTCATTCCGTGATGTTGCGGAGGATGGCTCGTAATTGACAAAAAACAAATCTCGTATCCTCTCTTGCTTTGAGTTTTTCTCAAGCAATGGTTGTCTCCTTTTTGTCGTTGTGCAGGAATGAGCAGAAGCGATGGATCACTGCCATCAATCCGAAGCGGAACAAAACACCGTCGGAGGCGTATGGCTTCTATGGTCAGTCAAGAGAGAGAGAGAGCCTGTGGTCTGGGGAAGTTCCTGTCTCGATTACAGAGATAATATATATTTTTATAGGGGAGGGGGGGAACATTAGGCCAAGGGTATAGCCACCATAGGGTGTCATGCATGTCCAGACACAAACTACTTTTTTTTTTAAATATGGCTAAGAGACACTCACGGCATTTTTGATGGAATATATCAACTCGAATATCCAACTTGCTGAGGGGGGGAAAAAAGGCTCTCTGAGTGGTTACTTGAAAATGTTGGATATGTGAACACCTGGAGAAAAAGAAAGTTGCGTCATTATGTATGCAGAGTGTATTGAACACAAATTAGGCGCAAACTGCTTTAAACATCGTAATATGCTCTACTGTACTCAAGAAGTTGGCGAATGTACGCGAGATGGAGGATACATGACTGTGACAAGGTCAAACGTGTAAATGTCTATAGAACATGACACCTTCAGGTGCCATTTGTTGCTGGTCACTGGGCATTTTGGACCTTTGGGGCGCTGTGCGCGGCCACCGATTTGAAAAGAAAAAAAATCTCAAAGTCCCGTTGTTGCATTCGTTCGGCCCCTTGGGATTTTCCATCCCAATATGCTTCTTGTATTTATTTATGTACGTTGAACTTCGCTTGCACCATACGTAGCCATCTGTGCTAATCGACATTGTACTTTATTTTCCAATTCATCTAATTTATTTTTCCTGCTGTTCGAAGACAAAGATCCCCTGTGTAGCCTTTGCAGGCTGCTGGGGCAGTGTTGTTAGCGAGCACCTATGAACGCCGGCAAGGCACACGAGGGAGGAGGTGGCCAGCACCATGCCCGGCCACCTTTGTCTCCCGAGTTAAATTGTTTACACACCGCACCAGGTACTCGTATGAGGCTGAATCGACCTAGGGGAGCCCAGGATTGGTTCAGATAATCGTCACTGGTGTTAGTCATGAACTATGTTTGCGGGGTTTGTAGCGCAGCGTGCTTACCGCTACACTAACACTCCACAATGTGGCGAGATCTTAACTCCCTCACCTGGTATGCAGGAGGTCGTGGGTTCGATCCCGACCCTGACGCCTGTATATTTGGAGTTTGCATGTCTCTCTCTCCCTATGGTTGCGTGGATTTTTCTTCGGGTCCTACAGTGTTTCCCTCCACATCTAGAATCGCCATGCGTTCCGAGTATTTGACTGCTATAAATATCCACAGGATGACAAGCCGCTTCGTTGAGCAATTATTTGTGGCCAGGTCGCTTCTGGGAAAAAAAATAGCTATTTAACTCGGTGTGCCTTACCTGCTAAAAGTGTTTCAGTTTGACCCACACACACACAACACCGTATGCACAGCGGACTGCGAGCAGGTCTGCTGCATCAAGCCTTACAAAGCTCAGGAGGCCGACGAGATGACGCTGGATTTTGCCGACTCCTTCTTCATCCTGCGCAAGACCACGGATGGTGAGCGACCTGGGGGGAGGGGGGCGGAGACCCTCCCTGCGTGCTTTGGAAGTGAGCAGCAGTTGCCCTGTGTAGAGGCTGCTTCGGCTGTACGCCAGAGGTCGCAAACGGGTTTTGATTCCTTACCCGTACCCGGCCGCTCTAGGGTCGCAAACGGGTACCCGTACCCTACCCGTACCCGGCCGGGTACGGGTAGGGTACGGGTATCGGGTACCTGATTGCGACCTCTGGGATGAAGCCATGTTGCAGGCGCGGGTGGGTTGATTCTAGGAACTTGAATTGTGAGAAGAGACAAGACGTTGGGAAATGAGTGACAAACAGTTACTTACCAGTGACTCACGGCCTACCCGTACCCGTACCCGGCCGCACCAGGGTCGCAAACGCGGCTACCCGGGTATGGGTAGCCGGGTATCGGGTACCCGGTTGCGACCTCTGCTGTACGTGCACACATGTGTGTGCTAATCGGAGGTGCACACAACAAGCGCAGCGCTTGTGTCAATCTGCTGCTGGCTGAGGGCCTTCCTATGCGGTGCGGATCAAGGGGGTTGTTTGACCACGCTTTGCCATGGTGGTACGTGCCAGTTAGTGAAGGCAGGGAGCATAACCATGGGAGCATAGAAGTACAGAGCGACATTGTTTTGCTGCACTGCCTACTGCAGCTCACCGCAGAGCCCCCCACAGTGGCCTATTACAACCTGCTGTACATGAACTTGATTTGGAGCTTTCGTGACTGCAGGAATTAGTCTTTGGTTCTTTCAGTAAAGTCACGTAGAAAGAGAAAATAATAAATTTTATAATAGCGCTATTATTATAGCAATAATAGCGCTATTATTATTATAGCTATTATTTCATTTATTATTTTCTCTTTCTACGTGACCTTACCGAAATAACCAAAGAGCTGCTGTCAGGCCACACAGTGTCATTAACAAATGTGTTGAGGCTTGTGTGTATGTTGAACTTCTTTCACACCGTACGTAGCCAACCATGCTAACCGTGTCAAAAGCCTCTACACCCAACCTCAACATCCACATCGGGCAGAATTCTGCGTGACCTTGGTCGTGGGCTTTCTAAAGACGCAGTAAAAACCCGAACCGTGCGCTCGTGACGGGCGACAGCTCGCCGCTCCTAACTGCGTGCGTGCATGCGTGCGCCTGGCAGGCTGGTACGAGGGCGAGCGCATGTCCGATCGCCAGCGCGGCTGGTTCCCGAGCCGGGTGGTGGAGCCCGTGGCAAGTGGCAGCGTGCGGGAGGAGAATGTGCGTGAGCGCGAGTGTCTCCTGACCTCCGTGGAGGGCGGCGGTGACGGCGGCGGTGGCGACGGCGGTGGCGACGACGGTGGCGACGACGGCGACGACGACGACGGTTGCAGCTACGGCGTCCCCACAATAGTGTGAGAAACTTGTGGGGGAGTCTTCCGCAAACGAAGGGGATGAATGTGTCCCCCAGTTGGGGCGACTGCCCGAGGATGAAGGGGGGTCCGAGTGAATTTGATGGTGTGTGCGAGACTCCCCATTGCACCGGGGCTGGGGCGGTGGTCAGTGGGTGGCAGTACAGCAAGAAGGTTGCCGACCTGTTTGTGTGGATGTCGAGTGTCAGGCTGGGCATTCCAGTTTCCTTCCACGTAGGAAAATACTGTATTTAAGAAGGGATCGGTCTAACTTGTTAGGCTGGGCATTCCAGTTTCTTCAAATGCCTGTCTAAACTCCGGATGATGTGATAAGTCAGTGCCTAACTTCGCACCCATAAATGAGAAGTCACCCGAATGCACTTAGCCACCCACTGTGTGCCAATCCTTAATCAACTGCAACATTGCACTCACCATATTCAAGATCCTCCATGGACTTGCCCTCACCAACCCCTCTCCATCCTCACATCCCTCTACTCCCTTGCATGCAATCTCCACTCAAGCGCCAAAGGCTTTCTCCGTAGTCCGGGGAAGCACCTTGCCCCAGCCATCATTGCTGCCGACTCCCCGCTCCTGTTCAAGTCGAGGCTCAAAACCTTCCTTTTTTTCCTCTGCCATATGCTGACTGCCAGTCTCGATTGTAAAATAATATCCATCGCGATGTCCGTCAGCTGGGAGTTCTGGGAGAAATCTGGTCAACTCGGGTGCAAGACGAATCGAGGTGGCTGTTTGTGGAAACGAGGTGTAGTGAAGTGTTGTACCCCCTGCACACACGTGTTCCAGTGTTTTACTTACAAATAATAAGCGATAAACACCTTGCATACTCGTTTACATGTATACATGCCAAAACAAAAAATATCAGCAGCAAAGTGGAAATTAAAATTCACCAAGTTTACACTGTGTTTTACAATAATCTGCATGAATCTGGGATGTACGGTGTTGGTATGATTTACTTACAGCACTAGCTGGACTTGGTGGGTTCATTTGATATGATGAAAGTGTCTCTGGGTGCCACTTAATGAGATGGTTAATTTGGAACACGGAGCCCAGTAACAATGTTGCATACAATTCCTTAAGCGACTGTCACTTGGCTCACAGTGCTTTCCATTGCAAGCTAATTGATAATATCACTTAAGTCATTTCATTCAACCGATCGCAGATCTTTTGTGGTCGCCTGATGTCAAACGTCGTCGTGTATTGTGAGCGAGGAGGCCTTAAGTCGAGTCAACTGATTACCTGATGCGAATTATTGCATTGTAAATGCGTTTTAAGTGTGCCAGTTGTTGCATTTGTCTGTAGATAGCCGTGATTATCGAAGGCTGAAAGAGCACTGTTTGATGGCGTGTTGAGATGTTTGGTCGTCGATGTGAAGTCTTTTTTTTAGAAGCCACGTTCTCTTGCGACACTGCGATCTTTACGCAGCTCTGAACGATGCTTGCCCCATGTGCCTTGCCACAGGACAGCACAATTGCGATGCGACGTCTTTGATAACGCTACGAATATATGTAATACATATGCTGTAAATAAAGTATTCAGTAGGGGTCATTGTGACACTTTAATTACGTTGATTACAATGTATAGATTTTGTTGCTTAAAGGCATTATCGGCAGGAACAATATCGGCAGTAACAATAGCTTTTGTATTTGACATTATCGCCGCTACCTATGCACCTCATGCTATTTAATTTGAAGTTGATTGTGCAGTGATGAGAAACGGATATCTCATTTCTTATCGCAATACGATAAGCCTTGGCATGTTTAACAATAATTTCTTCCCACCGCTTATTCCCACGAAAAGGTGAGGCATATATGAATGTAGTGTCTTTACAAAGGTGGCTGTGTCAATGTTTATCTTATTTCAATGCAGTCCTATGTCGTCACATTAAAGCTTTGTTTTAATAATTGATAGAATTGATTAACAATATTCTATTTTGAAAAGTTTGACTTAACGGTCATCGTGTTGCATTTTAGACAGCGGGCATAGAAAACTGTGTACCCTGTATTGTATTTTCCATTCTATAGCAGGTTTTTTTATAATTAAGGCAGGATACCATTTTCTTGGTCATGATTTTCAGAATCTGGCTTCCATACAAAGCACTGAGCCAGTATTTGTTTTATATGTTTAAGCCCCAGGTTACCCATTATGATACAAAACAAGTCCTGCAGTATATTAAATATATTGCTCTGATCTCAGTCGCCAAATGTTACAAACACATTTCCACTCAATGTAGCTCTGCCCAGCCCTGAAGATAATTGAAAATTACCAGATTTGAATACCCGCATTACAAATGGAATCATGTAATCACATATAGTTTCAGAGCTCGCCCCAATGTTTTTAATGCAATAAAAAATGTTAAATATTTGGTGTTAGTTTAATTGCGTATTTTGCCATGTTTGTGCCTGTGATAGTTGGTACTCTGCCAGTCACTGGGTGTGAATGTGCAACATGTTTATAACATAAAAAATGTAGGGTTCTTTTATATAAATTACATTTTTAATATTCATAGTTCTTTCGGTAAAGTCACGTGACTTTACCGAAAGAACCAATAATATGAATCCCCTGCATTCACGAAAGCTTTAAATAAATTCTACATTTTTAATGTTCTTAAAACTGCCATTGCAAATAAACAATTGAGTAACCGAATCGGTCCTGACCTGCCCTTCAACTCGCAATGTCCAGCTTTCGTAAAGTATGGTCACATTATTCTCATAGCTGGCAAGACAGAGGGAGGCCTTCATCAACAATAGATTGACACAAGTGCCATGAATTGCTGTATTATTACTAAGGGCCTGTCCCCATCTACTCCACTTTTATTTTCTAAATTGCACAATGTAATATAAATTGTCTCTTTAGCAAATGAAAAACTCTTATTTAGGAACAGTTTTTAATAATGGAGAGCCGATTCTGAAAGGATGTAGTGAAAGTAATGTAACAGGACATTGGGGTAAGCATTTATCATAACCAAGGATTGATGGAAAAATGAAGGGGTGAAAACGACTTGCATACTATATACCATTGAGGCGCTACATATTTACATGTGAATGTTCATGCGTGGTTCAAAAAGTTGAGAACCTAACGTATCTACCAAGTACGTAAAAGAATAAGATCTTACTTTTCAGGTCACCCTTTTCTCACAATGAATTATTAGTATAATTCCCAAAGCTTTTTTTATTCCCTCAATACAGATGGCTCCTTCGGACATGGCAAGTGATTAAAACTTTGGATTTGACATGAAAATTTACATAATGTATCTTATGGGCGTTTCATTCATCTTATCGCGATCCTTGTACATTGTGAATCACTACATGTAACGCACAGTTTTAAGTTAAAGATGTACAGATGCACCAATTTTCGAGATTAAAAGTGCGATTTGAGAAAGATGTAATTTTAAGGATGTTAAATATGCACTTCAATTGTAAACGTGTACTGGAAGTATTGTAGAAAGTTACGTGTATACAGGACATATGCAGCTTTATTATAAAGCAGTTGCTTTAAAAAAATGTACGTATTAATTTCTAGCCAAATGTAGTACCGTACAATAGTTCCAAAAAAGTTACTACATGCAGTCTGTCCAAGTATTAAATGCGAAATAAAAAGTTTTCATAAAAATAAATAATGTTTTCGCTAATTCATACATACGTGGTGCCAAAGTATAAAGTTAAATGCGTTCTCTATAAAGTAACATTACATTTTAAGGTTTAAGAGGTCAGTCCAATTAACCATGAGTACTGTAAATATACACTGATGCAAAGATGTTTCTTTTATTCACTTCATAACGTTCATAATCTTTGCCTTAGTTTCCATTGACGTGCCTTTCCATCAAAACGTAACCTATTATTTAGACAATCTTATATCTCTTTGAGACACTTTCGCATGTAAACAATACATTGATAGAAAACAATAACTTATGTACACTGACAATATTCAAAACGTGCCATTTCACTTCCTAGTGTATACTCAAGATTTCCAAGGTTGTGTATGAATTGCCATTATTTATACCAGTCTCGAGAAACTGGATCCATTAAGCACATGTAATCATAAAAAAAAATACTTTTTATTGATATTGCGGACGCAATGTCTAACACATGAGCATGATACCAACACTAATGTCATCATTGTTGCCAACTCCTCTTTATAAATCACAGGGTCTTAATGCTCAAATCAGAAGGTACTGCAAAAGCACGATACTTGAGGAACTATCCCCAAACCTTTGGCAAACATTACACTTCAAAAACATATTCTTATAACGTGAGTGGGTGCTGATGTGCCTCAGATCACTTAACATATCACAAAGTATTCTCCATTCTGCTTTTAAAGCGTCATTACAGTATGTATCGGCACTTATTGGAACACATGAATAAACGCATACCATGGCCACCTTAACTTGAACAGTTGCAACATGGATTTGAAGCTTTCGTGACTGCAGGAATCCAGACTCTCTGGTTCTTTCAGTAAAGTTACAGGTATAAAATAAAATAAATCGCGACGTTTCGGGCGCAACACAAGCATCCATCATCACCTGATGTACATCAGATGTACATCTAATGTTGCGCCTGAAACGTCGTGATTTATTTTATTTTATACCGACGTGACTTTACCGAAAGAACCAAAGAGTTTGAACAGTTGCATTCCAGTTAAGGAGTGGCCAAGCAGAGCATTATCGGCAATAAGCACAGAACTCTGTTTCAAATGCTAATGTTTTAAAAGGTGTAAATTATGGGAATTCAAGTCCCAAGTCTGCGGTCAAGAGATGTCGCTTCATCACATGTCAGGGGGGTGTCTGCTATTCGTCTCCACCTCGATGGAGAGAATGTGATGCCCAGGCACCATGGCGAGACCCAATACTCGTGCTTCCCCTTGTGAAGATGGTTCTGTATGTAAACACACACAAGCATGCAAACACGTGCTATTTTGATCTCTTTTTGCCTACTACCAACAAATCACGTTCAAGGTCACAGTCAAGCTTACACGATGAAAACTAAATATTCAGGTTTCTTCATCAATGCAACTGCATAAACGTCACAATGCAGGAAGAGTCTCAGGCACAATTTTGGCTTTCCTGGATACATATGTTGAGTAGTTCCGACGGACGTACTCGGAGACGGTAGGTAAGTTAGGGGCTTCCGCCAGGGTTTATTAACACTTATCAATACTACACAGCAGGGTACACAACTCCCAGGGGCTAGGGGTCCTACTCTGAGTCCGGGTCCCTGCCGGCTAGCTCCGGTCTCTCTCTCTCGTGTCGGATCGTGGAGTCTGCCGACTCCACCGACCGGAGAGAGAAGCACCTCTACGGCTACCACCGGCTTCTCCCCAGACTCCCTATTCGATCCCTCTCACTATCCCTGGTTCCCTCTTCACCCTGTTTACTATCCCCGTTCCTATAGTGACCCCGCTTACGTCACGGGGTATCCCTTAAATACCCTAGGAGGCGTGACGTCACGTGCACTGCCCAGCGCGTGCGACCCCACGTCCCGTGATGTCATCGCACCGGACAGCGCACACGACGCCACCACTCTCCTCTACTCCTCTACATATATATAGTTTAATTAATTAAAACCATCTCCCATCTACTTTCGGAACTGAACAAAAACTCAACAAACCGAAAATACTTCCTTAAACAGGAAAAAAATGCGACATTTAAAGCAATGTCACATTTTCATAGGTGACAATGCTTTTGAGCTATGTAACTTTTAAATCAATATTGAATACTCAATCTGGATTAAAATCTGATCGTATTTTTAACAACAAGTTAAACATACGTGCATACATAAGGGACATTGCTGGAAATGTCACTCACCTCTTGAATATTTTACTCTTTCTGGCAGTGTTATTGCCAACGTTTTTTGGTTGATTCGGTAAAGTCAATTAGAAAGAAAATTGCAACACAAGCAATCGTCATCAGGTAGAAAATAAACCTAGTGAACTTAGAAATACAATGCAATCCAACACAGGGAGTCGGCTAACACAACAGTCAGCACCTTACCTGGTTGATTATGTTCTTTCAAAGATTGCTAAATTTGAGAGAGAGACAAAACACAGACACGGAGACACAGACAGACACACAAGCAGAACGAGACAACACAGAGACACACAACATAGACACACAGAGACCCAACGCCTCTGTGCCGAGGCCTTAAATAGAGAGGGGAGGGGAAGGGGGTGAGGCAGAGAGAGAGATGGGTCTGCTGGAGCAGAGAAATGAGCATGTCAATGAGAGAGCTGTGTGGAAATCCACCCCGCAGCGGCCGGGGAAGAGAAAGACCCAACAAGCCTGGTAAATTTGATATTTAAGGCCTCGGCACATTCCATTGTTTGTCGGGTTCAAACTGACGAACGGTGAAATTGAACACAAATGAACGAGTGATATTACCGGTGCCTTTGAGGTACTCCTGCGCCGAGCCGAGGATGACATTACAGTCGCGGTCAGTGCAAAGGAAGGACCCCACGAGCGTGCGCCCGTCGCTCATGCGTATTTTCATGCTGCGGTTGAGCCAGCTTTCCAGCTTCTCTTTGGCCAATTTGTACTGGTCACCGCCCTCTCCCGACTGCTGCTGTGGCTCCTGGGATGTAAAAAATATATATATAACAATCGAAAAGCAACATCAACTCGTTGACAGCGACGTCACCGCAACTCTTTGCCGTGTTCGCATTGTTCATGTATCCAAGGACTCTTCTAGGAGCGTCCTGCATTGAGGGTTTACCTGAGAGATGTTTTCAACGAATTGGTAAGCGTGGGAGGAAACCGGAGCACCCGGAGAAAACCCCACGCGTGCGAGGGGGCAACACTCTATCCCGGGAGAGATGACAGGTGGAGGGAGGTGTGTCCACTTGTTTGTATACTCCCTTCCTCCCGACAGGGAGTTTCACAGCATTTGTGTGGTCCGCCAACCCTCGCCTCCAGTGATGGTTTACAAGCGGTACACCAACCATATGGGGTAGGTGGATTGCTGAGGTAATGCGATGGAATCCTGTGTTATGGCTAAATAATTATCCATGATGCCTGGCAATCGGAGGAGGTTAATTAAGACACGAACATGCACGGACGTTTTGTCAATCTAATGCTGAATGAGGGCCTCCCTTCGCCGGCCGGGCCCGTAGGTTCTTATTTGATGATACGATACCGCATAACACATTCCTGCGGAGGGAGCTGGTAGGAACGTTGGGTTGCTCGGTCAATGGCCAGGGTCAACGGCGGCGTGGTGTATTCCGCAAATATTCCTGACTGTGAGGGCGGGCACAAGCCGGCGTGAGTAGGTGAAACGTTGAGTTTTATAAGGGCACCACGAGGTGACCAGCCCCTCCCCACCCAGCCTCACCCCCCACCCAGCCCCACCCTGCCCACCCAGCCCCTCCCCACCCAGCCCCACCCTGCCCACCCAGCCCCTCCCCACCCAGCCCCACCCTGCCCACCCAGCCCCTCCCTGCACGACGGACGGACACTAATCCCCTGTGGGCTGGTGTAACCAGAGGTTCCTACCAGTATAACCATCATGATTTGAAATATATACCACTCCCCTCCCTCCCCCGCAGAAAACAAGTATCTGCTAATCTACTGAATGCACGAAAGCGTCAAGGAGAGCATCGTTTCGTTTAAGAGAACATTCGATATCTTTACATTCCGGGGTGGAGGGGGGGGCGGGGGGGGGGGCTGCCAGGCCCAAAGCAGCCCGTAAGAAAATCCAGGCAACACCGTAGGCTGCGACCGCCGCTAGGCCTCGTCGCCGCGAGTGACATTTCACTTCGTTCGCGGCACAGACGAGGCAAGGGGCCGTCATGAGCGCGCTGTGGTCGGCACGGGGCTACACGACGACAGTCACAGAGGAGGGGGAGGAGGAGGAAGAAGCGACGCCGCTGCATTAGCGGAGAACGCGGGAGGTGAAGTGGAAGGCGCTCACCATTGAAGCTGGCGGCTGCTGCCACTGCCGCACGTGGCGGTGGATGGGACACAAGGCGACTCACTCACGGCAGACGACTCACTCACGCTCACATTTAGATTTAAATGTGAGCGTGACTGCAGGGATTCATCTTCTTGGTTCTTTCGGTAAAGTGACGTAGAAGGGAAATAAAAAACTAATAAAGCATGATAAAATACATTTTATTATGTTTTATTTTTATAGTAAAATAAATAAATAAAAAACATAATAAAATTTAAAAAGATTAAAATAATAATAATTTCTTTTTATAATAAAATAAGAAAAAATGTAACATAATAAAATACATTTCATTATGCTAAATGTTTCTTTTTTATTATTTCACTCACGCTCGTTTGAGGCTGAGTCGACCTAGGGGAGGCCCGGTTCAGATAATCGTCTCCGGTGTTGTCCGTGAGTGGGAATCGAGCTGGGGGGGGTCGCCACTGCGCTCCCCACGGCAGATCCACACACAGCGACATCGTCGTGCCCCTTGCAGAGACAACGTGGCAAGGAACCTCCTGAAAATATAAAAAATATTAAGGTTGTTCTCCCCCCCCCCCCAACCACCGGTTAAGTAAGCAAAGAACAAACATAAACGAATTAAATAGTTACACAAAAAACAAATCCCTGTAACAAATTAAAAAATAACGTTAACAAAAATAATTTAAGCGAGGTGAACGTTTTGATTTAAAGCTTTCGTGACTGCAGGAGATTCATATTCTTGTTTTTTTCGGTAAAGTCACGTAGAATGGAAATAATAAAATAATAGAAATATAAAGCAATAACATTTTTATTGTTAAAACAATAAATATGTATTATTCTTTTTATTATTAAAACAATAAAAATTTGTTTTATATTTCTATTATTTTATAATTTCCCTTCTACGTGACTTTACCGAAAGAACCAAGAATATGAGGTGAACGTTGTATTCTTGGTTCTTTCGGTAAAGTCACGTAGAAGGGAAATTAAAAAATATAAAAAATATATATATAAAACAATAAAAATGTTATTGTTAAAACAATAAATTTGTATTATTCTTTTTATTATTAAAACAATAAAAAATATATAGTTTTATGTTTTTATTATTTTATTATTTCCCTTCTACGTGACTTTACCGAAAGAACCAAGAATATGAGGTGAACATTGTATTCTTGGTTCTTTCGGTAAAGTCACGTAAATAGGGAAATAAAAAAATAAAAAATATATAAAACAATACAAATGTTATTGTTAAAACAATAAATTTGTATTATTCTTTTTATTATTAAAACAATAAAAAAATATATAGTTGTATATTTTTATTATTTTATTTCCCTTCTACGTGACTTTACTGAAAGAACCAAGAATATGAGGTGAACGTTGTATTCTTGGTTCTTTCGGTAAAGTCACGTAGAAGGGAAATAAAAAAATATAAAAATATATATATAAAACAATAAAAATTTTATTGTTAAAACAATAAATTAATATTATTATTATTAAAACAATAAAAAATATATAGTTTCATATTTTTATTATTTTATTATTTCCCTTCTACGTGACTTTACCGAAAGAACCAAGAATATGAGGTGAACGTTGTATTCTTGGTTCTTTCGGAAAAGTCACGTAGAAGGGAAATAAAAAAATATAAAAATATATATATAAAACAATAAAAAATGTTATTGTTAAAACAATAAATTAGTATTATTCTTTTTATTATTAAAACAATAAAAAATATATAGTTTCATATTTTTATTATTTTATTATTTCCCTTCTACGTGACTTTACCGAGGTGAACGTTGTGACCGCATCTACTACTCGCCTGGCCCCGCCCCCCACCCCCCGCGGGGTCGTTGCCGTGGCGACGAAGAAACGCCGCTGCCGACAACCAACCTCCAGGTAGTTCGATTTAAAGATTTCGTGAATGCAAATAAATAAAAAATAATCATTTTCTCTCGGGCTTTCGTCGATCATTATTATCGGTGACTACCTCATTTTAATAGGCGCTATTTCTGCTGCTTCTGCTGCTGCGTTCACGGGCTTCTTCCTCCGTATGAGTGGACCATGTCGTTTGTTGTGAAAATTAGGTCATAGTTCCTATGATCACTGTGTCATTGCTTTCGTGGCTTTATTTTGGTGATTTTCGAAAAGTTTTTTGGTTTGGCCACGTTTGTTTATTGTAGTACGGAGTTAGACTGATGGCCTTAATCTAAGTTGTCTTGTTGTTGTTTGACTTGCATCCCACTGGGATTTGTGCTTTTTCTGCAATATTTTGCTGTCTTTTCTTAGATTTTCTGTTTGCACATAGTCACTTTAAGATGTTTTCTTGTTCATTTTTTTGTTTTAGTTTGTTGCGGTTGCACCAGATTCAAGAGCCGAATGGCTCACAGGGCTTTACCTAATAAATTAAACTAAAACCTGAAACGAGTCGGGTTTAATAGCCTCCGAGCGGAGACACTTTGAGTTGGACTTGGGAGTTAGGGTTTAGGATTAGACTGCTGTGGGGTTTTGTTTAAATGCTCTTTGAATCGTGCCCGGGGTTGTTACGGATTGGGGTTATAGCTTAGTCCAGAATTCGACAGGCTATTGGTAAGTTTTAGAACTCGCCCCTAAGGTTAAAAGTTTTTTCGGTGGTGGCAGCTTTCGCACCTGTGACCACAAAGTTCTGATGTGAATATTATTTGTGTCTTTCGGTAAAGTCACGTAGATAAGTTCAAATAAAATAACAACAAAAAATGACTAAAAACTACGACGTTTCGATCACAACACAAGCGAACGTCATCATCTTTCCTCCTGATGACGATCGCTTGTGTTGCGATCGAAAGGCCGTAGTTTTTTGTTATTTTCTTTGAACCTATCTAAGTGATTTTACCGAAAGACCCAAAGAATATGAATTCCTGCAGTGACGAAAGCTTTAAGTGAAGTCTGGGGTGAGCTCTCATACTCCGAGGGTGCATTGTCTTTGAGTTGTGCGCCTTTTGGCGTCATCTGGTCCAACCCATGTGAGACTAGGCTCTAAGGAAAGCTGTCTCGGGTGTGGACCAATCAATTTCAAGGACAGTGCATACATTATCAGAGTTGTGTTTTTTGTTTGCATTCCGACCGCAGGTATTGTGGTCAATGCAAACATGACTCCTTGTTAAAAAAGGTGTCAGTTTTGTTGCCAGATAAAAGGGTAAAAAATCAATTATCATATTTTGCTACTGGCAAAGGAGGTTCCAATGGTGTAAATGCTTACCCCGAGCTCTCATACTCTGATGGTGCATTGTCTTTGAGTTGTGCGCCTTTTGGCGTCCTTTATATTCTTGTATTTGTTACACAGGTATTTTTCTCTGGTAATTCTTTCTTTCGTTTATGTTTGTCCTTTGCTTACTTAACCGGTGGGGGTAGAAACAACCTTAATATTTATACTCTTTGGTTCTTTCGGTGGGGGTAAACACAATCTTAAGATGGATTCCTGCAGTCACGAAAGCTTCAAATCAAGATTGAACATTAAGATTTATATACAATTTGTTGAGGAGGTACCTTGCCAAGTTTTCTCTGTAAGGGGCACGATGATGTCATTGTGTGTGGATCTGCCGTGGGGAGCGCATTGGCGACTACCCCACCCCCAGCTCGATTCCCACTCACGGACAACACCAGAGACGATTATCATGACCCGGTCCTGGGCCTCCCCTAGGCCGACTCAGCCTCAAATGAGTACCCGGTGCGACGTGTAAACATCCTCACTCGGGGACACAAAGCCGACCGGGCGTGGTGTTGGCCACCCACCCCCTCGTGTGCCGTACCTGCCTTCATAGGTGCTCGCTAACAGCACTTGCCCCTTCAGTCTGCTAAGGCTACCTGGGGGGGTCTTTGTCTTTGTTGGGGGGTCAGATTCGTCCTTGGCGCGTGCAGCGATGCGGCCCAGGTACCTGTCCCCCCGGGAGGTGTCTCTGCACAACGTGCCCGAGGACACGTGGGTCTCCTTCCTGGGCGCCGTCTACGACCTCACGCCGCTGTGCGACCAGTACAAGGGTGATGCACGTACACACCAGCACGTCGCACTCATCTCTTCGGCCGGTATGAATGTACTGCACGTTGAACTTCTTTCGCGCCGTACGTAGCTTGCACACTTATTCGAAGCTCGAGGAAAGGGAAATAAATAAAATAAGCGACTCATCTTCTTGGTTCTTTCGGTAAAGTCACGTAGAAGGGAAGTAATAAAATAATAAAATAAAACATATATTATTATATTATTTTATTATGTTTTATTTTTATTCTTTCATTACTTCCCTTCTACGTGACTTTACCGAAATAACCAAGAAGATGAGTCCCTGCAGTCACGAAAGCTTTAAATCGAAAAATAAGCGACGTTTCGGGCAATGGCCCCTTTTCACTTGCGTTGGGGATGTAAGACTTTTTCTTAAACTGTTGAGGTTTTTTGTTTCTTGTTGTGCTATGAAGAAGGGCCATGGCAGATAGCCCACTATAATAGAGGGTGAATTTATAGAGAAAACGAATTATTTCAAAACCTCTACATGTCCCTCACCATTGTCAACACACATTAAATCATATAACGCTCCCTGTAAGATATCAAGTCATTGCCTTCACAATATACAATCACATGTTCAGAAAGCATTCGAAATATATATGAAATACTGCACAGCCCACTGTAACTACAGTTTAAATGTTCAGTTTGTAAATTAATTGGCCTGTATGTCCAGTAATTGTCGTGCATATGTTTCTTTATAATTGTGGACTTTTAATTATCCCACAGGAGACATGCTTATGAAGCCCATTATCGAGGCGGCTGGCCAGGACATTTCTCATTGGTTTGACCTGAAAACTAAAGATGTGAGTTGCTATTTCTAGCGCATACACTATAAGTGACCGACACTTCACCTCGCTCAGGTACCATATGTCACACTTTAAGAACACAGCTCTCATGTAGTCATGATACTAATGTATTCATAAGGCGCCCTTAAACAATGGATATCAAGAGCAACATGCATATAAATTAGAAAAATAAGTGAGAAGTATCCGGCAAGAGAAGGACTAAAGGGATAATATGGAAAACTTGAGAGAGGCAGTTTTATACAGGTGGTGAGGTCTTCCACCGGGACTTAAAGGTCCTAACCTCTGAGGGCAGAGAATTCAAAAGCTTGGGTGCTATACAAGGGGACGATCAGTAAGATCTCAGAGATCTCGGTGGGATGTATGGTTGAATCAACTCCTGGATTTAAGGTGGAGTAAGCTCATTTAAAGCCTTAAACACAAGTAGGGGAATCGAAACATCAAGAGGAAACATTAACATTGCTTCTCCACACAATGCTATTAGAATTTAGGCAGATAACAAACATCTCGCCACGGTGACGAGATGTTAATTATCTGCCTCGCCTGGTATGCAGGTCGTGTGAATTTTTCTCCGGGTCCTCCGGGTTTTCCCTCCACATTTAGAAACATCCGCTTAGAGTTTTTGGCTGATATTAATTTCCACATGAAAGGGCCACTTCGTTGCGCTATTATTTGTGGCCAGGTCGCTTCTGAAAAAAGCTATGTAGCTCAGTGGGCCTTACCTGGTAAAATAAAACGTTTAGTTTTTCGTTTTATTCTGTGTCAAAACAACAATCTATTTTATACTAGTGGCATAGCTGTGGAGTTTTGCAGGTGGTGTAATCACACCTGGCCCAAGGTTCAGTGTATCCCAAGCATCGGGCTACAAAGGGGGCGACGGAAATTGGATGGGAGACCCCATGATATTCATTTCCCCAGGGCCCATGCAGAACCATGGTACGCATCATCATGATGACGATGCACTCACACAATTATTATGAAACAAGTCCTGCTAAATTGCCAAGGGAATTAACAGGCACAACTAAACAGATCATCACACATGAGGCAGTAGCACGCATGAACTTAGCATACCTGTCAACCCCTTTTGAGTGGCTACCTTATTATAGACCTATTTAGATCTTATTGGTCACCCCTGCTCTTATAAATCTTAAAGTTCATCCTACAAAGTCCTATCGCAAGGGAGAAACACACAAATAGACACTTTTTTGCCCGTATTGAAACGGCTGCACGCCGTATGGACCTGAAAACGCAACTTCCCTGTCCAAGAATAAGGGGTAAACCGTGTGGGTTGACACGGTATGGCTTAGAATCACACAAAGTTCCAGGAGAACCGGTAACATTGTACACACTGGAAAATATAATAAACCAACACGCCAATGCGTTTACATTTCCCGCAATTGATGACAAGTCATTGCAATGCGCTTATTGTTTGTTGGTGTTTGGCGTGGAGATCCGAACCCACGTGGACCCCGTGACGAACACGGTGACATTCCACACACCGCAAGGACGCTTCTTGCACGTGCCGCCGCCGTACCCAAGCACGGACTGGGCCAATGACTTTGGGCGTCCGTGGTGGAGAGACACCTCGTACCAGGTGGGGCTGCTGTCAAAGAAGACGCGCTTCATCCGCGTGATCAACACGCTCACCTCCCAGGAACACATCATCGAGGTAACAGCCCTGCTTTCCTCTCTCTCGGCATCACCATCTTGAAGGTTTTATTGTGTCCAAGCCCGTATGGTTTGATTCAAGATTTAACGATTGTCTCGTTTTATCCGTCTAATTTTAGTTTTGTCCATTAGCCTAAATGTAACATTAACATCGTACGAATCATAAATGTACCCTCAAACGATGCATGTATTTGTGAGTGCAAACATGGCTTAATTTTAGATTTGAAGTTTTCGTGACTGCAAGGATTCACTCTTTGTTTTTGTCGGTGAAGTTACGTAGGTAAAACATTTTTATTTTATTTTTTAACTACGTGACGTCACCAAAAAAACCAAAGAGTATGGCTTAATTTCTCACCATTTTCCAGGTATCTTTAAATTAGACACGTTAACAGTAATCACAGCCACAGTGAGAAGTATACTGGGTGTGGTGTGCCAGGTGCAGAAATATTTCCCACGTCAAACCAAGCTGAAATGAAGCACTGTGGCCAACTACACAGGGTCACTCGCCGAAGCGATGCACGATTGCACACCTACTACCCCCTTGTACCACACCTCTTAAGCCCAGCACCGCTCGCGTCGCCAGGTGTGCACAGAGGAGATCATGTCCGAGATCCTGCAGCGCTACCTCAAGTACAACGCGCACGCGGGCAGCTACACGTGGAAGCACGCCGAGCGCGAGCTCGACATGGGGCTGACTCTGGACGAGAACGGCGTTCCCGACGAGGACGAGGAATTCCTGCGGCTGCGTCTCGAGCCAGACGACTACCGCCAGACGCTGCACCTCTACTACAACGACGATCTCACCGAGGCGTGATTCGTGCATTTCGCGGTGGTTTTAAACGACGGATTCCCGAGCGGCTGGGCAATATATGTAAGATCACCAGGTGTTGGAGGGTCACATTGGGTCAACGTCGACAGCAGCGGTGGTTGGAAGTTTTGCTGAATCTTTTCGGGCTTTGTGAATGAAAGTGATTGTGTTGCAAATCAACTTGTATGACAACCAGTAAAATGACATTGAGCAACCAGCTACCCATTTGGCCTAAATTAGTGCAAAATAAAATTAAGGTTGTAGGCAGGATAAGATGTTCTTTACTCTTACGTTACTCCTGAAAAGCAAGTTTAAAACCGGAGGCCCCATGTTCTCCTTTGTAATTGCTTGTAAGGCAGTATAACCGAATAAAATAAAAAGATGAGACTTATGATGTGACCTGGAATGACTGAGCATTATTTCTAAACTGATTGACAATACATTTTCAGTCTACTAAAATGTCCCCGAAGTCATAAAATGCAAATAATTTATCAGAAAAGTTTCACTTAGTCTAGTGTCTGTCAGTCTGCACTATGCAGTGTATTTATAAGTTTGGCCAATACCATTCATGGGTGTTTGTGCATGTGGAGGGGAGAGTACTTCCATTCCCTGACCATCTCACAGCCCCCGCACCTACAACATCTAGCAAACTCGGGTGGTCAATACTAACTAGACTCAACAATGCTTACCCTTCTAAGATACGAAGACTAAACACATTTAGGGTGACTTTTTCGTAGGCCAGTCACGAGACCACTTGCTCAACAGCTGAACTATTCGATGTGCGGGTCACAGCATAACGAGAAGTCATAACCATACAAAAATGTACGGCATTGAATTAATTTTGAGAGAAAAATTTTACAACAAGTAAAATGTGCATCTCTGTTTATTATCTCATTATTATTCAGGACAACTGTGCATCACGGTGAGAGATGCATAACTTTACATAGCAAAATATTTCTCTCATGATACTAAAGACACCATGTGTGCAAGCTTTATACACGCAGACTACCACAAAAAATACAGCAAGAGGCTATCAGTAGTAATTTAACAAAACATCAAGAGACATAATTGTAGACAAAAATACAAAGGTTCACAGCTTGTGTGAATACAAGCACTGTAGCATTTCAGAGTAGAAAGGCAAACAGAAAAATTATGACATTTACCAACCAGCTGTTTAATAAGTACGGCTTCATAAACAGACATTTTAATTGAGACAAAGCCTGTCGATTTAATACACACATTTTCCCCACAGTGGTGTAATTCAACAAGTCCGGTGCCATAGCCCCATGAAATTTTGACAAAAAAACAATAAACTAAAAAAAAACGTTTTATTTTCTGAACTTATTGAATTATTTACTTATGTTTTAATGGAGCTAGTATTACGTCACGAAGTATTCGGCTAAACAGTACTCTGCTAAATGCAGCAGACACATTCATTCCGAGAACAGCGAACGGTAGGTAGGCTTCCCAGATTGCCCTCGTTCACTCACTCAACATTGTTTGGAAACACCACAAGCCCAGTTTGGTCCTTTTAGTTGAAGCTAGCAAAATACGAACACATAAACAGGAGATGAAACCTATCTATCCAGTTGTCATGTGAACAGAGATAGGGGTGCCGGGAAATGGGTACAGATAATACTTGTGTAGACTTGCATGGGTTTCTTTCTTTTGGATAACTATAATTCTACACAATGTTCGACCAGATTTGGGACCAGACTTGCTGATTTACGTTTTCAAACAATGGGATTGCAATATTTGACACCAGAGGATTGCATCATGCTAAGATGAACACTTTTAGATAGTTACTTGTGTTCATGTGTAGCATGTAGGCAATATGCTATTGGTCAATAACTTTATTTTGCTCAAGTCTTCAATTACAGGCCTGGTTAACAAAATAAAAAAACGCAAACTGAAACATCTCAGCACTCTTTCTTCCACTAGTATATGCTTTAATTGCAAAAAAAAAATTGAAAGCAGATTATCTACATTTAAAATAAAAGTTTCTTGATGCTGGTATCACTCGTAAAAATTTATTTTCCCTGCCCCAAAACCATCGCAAATATCCAATCAATGCAATTATTGTGTTTAACTATCGATGGCTGAATCGTAGAAAACGAGTATTATCCATCGCAAACGCAGCTCACCACCAATACGAATGTGTGCAAGCATGCACACACCTGCACATGCCTCCCATGTTTTGCAGAAGTGACGGATGAACTTTTTGAGCATAAATAATCTTGCTGGCTCAGCCAGTAACTCAGCAATATCCCGAGGGACACAGCAAAAGTTTTTGGAAAAGCAAAAAAAATATATCAACAGAAACGGGCGTCCTCCGACTTCTGTCCATCAGCGGCCCCTTCCTCCCCGCCCAGGAACTCCATCTCGGGCACCGCCCCTTGGACCACTATCTCGTCCACCGCCCCTCGCCATGCAGTCTCGACCGCCCCCTCTCGGACCACCGCCATCCCGGCCAACGCCGCCCCCTCTTGGGCCACCGTCTCGGCCGCCCCCTCGGGGCCCAATGTCTCGGCCGCCTCCCCTGGGCATGCCATCTCGCCCGCCGCCACCCCTCGGCATGCCCTCCCTGGGCATTCCCTCCCTGGGCATTCCCTCCCTGGGCATTCCCTCCCTGGGCATTCCCTCCCTGGGCATTCCCTCCCTGGGCATGCCCTCCCTGGGCATGCCCTCCCTGGGCATGCCCTCCCTGGGCATGCCCTCCCTGGGCATTCCCTCCCTGGGCATTCCCTCCCTGGGCATTCCCTCCCTCGGCATTCCCTCCCTCGGCATGCCCTCTCTGCCGCCCCTTGTCATCCCCTCTCGGCCGGCCCCCCGGAGGGCTCCTCCACGCCTGTGCGCCCAGTCCGCGTTGCCTCCTCCTCTCTGCATGGGGGTCCTCTGGAGTGACGCCATGCCGCCGACCCCGCTGTTGAGGGGGCCCATGAAGGAAGGGGGGCCCTCGTCCTCACCGCGGTACGGGTCGTCGCGGGCATCCATGCGCCCGGGACCGCCACCGCCTGCAAGAAGCGCAGCATATTTCCCTCCTCTGTGTTTGTCTCTGGCAGGTGGTGGCGGAACTGATAATAGTCCGCCAACTTCATGTTACATGGCCAACGGTCATGTGAGACTTACTACTTAAAAATGTGCGGCAAACATTTATCCCATCATTGCAAGCATCTTAGCCACACTAACTCAGTACTAGCGGCAAATATTTTCGACCAGGCAACACCATGCATCTAATTTTAGTAAAATCAGTGACAGCATGGTTAGGCCTTCATCCACCAGTGGATTGACAATGAGCTATAATTTACTATAATTTTCTTGTCGTATAACAACACGGGGCAGGGAACAAGATTGTCAGTATTTACACGAGCAAACTTAACTTTCCGGACTGCTGTGGACGCCTATCATATAACGACAATGTTTTATTTTGTCTGGCTGCATCTCCCTTAGAGCGAGTACCTCTGAGTGGGCGGTCGTCCAGGGGCGATAGGCCAGATTCTCCATCCCTCCGCTCCCCTGGGAGCCCTCCGGGTCCCTCGTGCCAAGGTCGCTTGCGCAGCGGCAGAGATGCCGTGTCCATCGCGAGCAGCGAGGGCAGCCGTTCGCGAGAGACGCCCGAGGGGCTGTCGGGGGGTGCGGGATAATCGCCTCGCCGCTCCTCGCCTGTCACGCGCAGGAAAAACAAAAGCTCGAATGTGGTAACGCAGTTTAAATGGCACGTGAGTTAACGCGTCGCCAAAATATGAAGGAAAAAAAATTTGCTCTCATTATTAAACCGCTGCATTGAAAAACAGAATTGCACGATGAAGAAATGCACAAAGCACTTCACCGTGGCTACTTGCTCCATTGTTGATGAAAGGAGTTTGCCAAAAAAACTAAGGAAATGAACATCTGGCAACAAGTGGATCGGGTCATAGCTTTGTAATTGTCGAGGTGACTTGTTATTATAAATGATGAAAAAAACGTAACTTTTCATGCAATGTCCCATAATATCCACACTGACCATCCAGGTGAATGATGATGAAGTAATCTCCCCATGACAATCCAGAATCTTTATTTATCCTGGAGAAATCTCATGAGCTAATGAGCTCCTTTTCACAGATATCCAATAGAAGGCGGGTCAGAAAGTTATAACAAGAAACAATACAAAAGAACGAAAGGAGTGCAAGTGCAGGAAAAGTAAGCAAATGACTAAAAATAAAGAAATAAAAGGTAAGGCCCACTGAGCTATTAGATTCTATTTGAGAAGCGACCTGCCCACAAATGGTAGCTCAACAAAGTGGCTTACGACGTGTAAATTTATAGCAGCCAAATAATCTAAATGCGTAAATCAAACAGGAATAGGGATTCGTAACAATAAATGGAATATTTAAATGCTGAGATTGGGGGCGAATTATTACATGCCTACCATAAAGAGACCAGTGTGTTCCCACCTTATGTGACCATCATAACAGTGGTGTCTCAAGTCCTGCAGATTAAGTGGTGGACAGAGTTGGGAATGGTGGGGGAGGCATCACCTCTGGGCAGCAGGCGACCGTGCCCAAGTCCTCGCTGGTCATCCTCATACTGACGCGGAAAATCATCATCTCTGTCCCGTCCTCCGCGCCGGAAGCTTTTGACAAATGACAATTACATGACTCACTCATGTACAATGCTCACATTCCGAGTGTCTTTATTGGTAATTACAGCAACTGTCTTGATAATGCACATGTTGCACTAAATTAGATAAAGTTCTTCCATGCTTTTCTTTACATTAAAAGCTACCCATAAGTATTGATATCACTATTGATGGTAAATGGATTTATCTGTTTCATCCAGAGATGACTGAATCCCATTAATTAATACATTGGATTGTAAACCTGGAAATCATTTATGGGCACTATTTATACACATTAAACATGTTATCTAAGGTATAAAAATATCATTGTGATTAAAATTCCCACAGTGCAATTTACATTCACCAAAATTATCCGAGGATCTTGTTTGAAATAATAAATATGAAGTTTAGAAATTGTTAAGTTCAAGTAACATCCATTACCCTAATCATCCTACTCTGAAAAAGCCTGCTTTCTTGAGAGTGCGATGTTGTGTGATGTAGTTTATTTCCAAGACAAATGTAATCTTGACCCCAAAATCATGACAATTAATCAATTCAAAAGGGGTTGGGGGGTGGTGGTGGGGGAGGTTAACCTTTAACATGCCTACCGACAACAAACCTAGGTCAGCCAAAGTCGCTTAAGTTTCAACTGACTGTGACTCGCTGTCAGTTTGGGCCTGAGGTCGTCTTCAGGCGCTGCTGCTCACCCATTGTCAAACTGATCCATCGGGAGGGGCTCTCCGTCCCGGCCTCGTCGGACCCGGGGTTCGAAATCTCTAGGGCGATCGCCCTCAAACTGCTGCGGGTACCCATCGCCCAGGGAACTTAGGGTCAAACCTGTGACCACAAAGTACAGTGGTTAACAGTCAATGACTGAGGAATGTGTGTGAATGACGGACGGGGCAACATTAGATCAAGTACTCCAGTATTTTTTTTTACTTGTGGAAGTGACCATTTTTCACTATAATTTAAATTCCTCAATTGGATTCTTGGTCAGACATGCATTAGCTTAATTCTTTATGGCTTTACCCCCATCGTACCTTTTGAAATAATTGAATATTTAAAACATTACTTTAATGTTATTGAAATATTCACATTATACACGATCAACCGGGGGTAGAGCGGTGAAGTGGTGAGAAGCGTACTGCACTACGGAACCTAGCAACCCGAGTTCGATACCCAGCCACGCTAACATCAGCGGCAGGTGATCTCCTGCTAGCTCCAAGCGCCACTGTTCCACCGCAGGCAACTTGCCTGTCTTCTCTCCGCCTGCCAAAGCGGCCGTCGTCCAGGTCCCTGTCGGCTGAAGGGCGCCGTCGGTCGAGCATGCCACCACGAGCCCCGTCCCTTCTCCTCCTGTTGCCATCCTCGAATGGTGCAAACTCATCACCAGGCTAACGAGGTAACGGAAAGAGGATTAGTGTTACGATAAGTGCTCGGTTACTTCAAGTACAGGATTCTGTTCATTCACAATTGACGGCTACTCCTGAAAATTCCACTTTGAACTGACTCGCGTTTGTAATTTTGTTGGGTGAAATAACGTTTGTATATAGACTCATTCTAGATTTGAAGCTTTCGTGACTGCAAGGATTCATACTCTTAGTTCTTTCGGTAAAGTCACGTAGGTAAAAAATGAAATAAAAATTAATAAAAATAAAATAAAAATCACGACGTTTCGGAGGCAACACAAGTCTCTGTCATCAGGTGGGACCGTCACAGCCAGATTTGCTGCATCAAGTGAGGCAGGGATTCAAGATGCAAGCTCTTAAATACAAGTTAAGGGAGAGGAGAGGGGGGGGAGCTTATCAGAATGTGGTAGCCAATGAATGGAACGTATCGGGAGGGGGGGGGCGGGGCTAAAAGAGGGCACGAGGTGCACGTAGGCGTCGACGTGTAAGTATTTGTGCGCAAGTCACTTTTGTTGCACATAAATAGACTCAGTTCATTACTTGGTGATAAGCGGTTTGGCCTCGACCATAGGGATGTGGTATTTTCACCTACGGCTCAGGGCCAGCAATGGAAATGGCTATCACTCCATGACGGTTTGAGCATGCAGATACTTTTGAGCTCTTGAATTAAATTAATGTATACAATTGTTTGGTATTATGCTCAATATGGTGATGAAGATGATGCATATTTCTGACCGGTGGCCTCCTCCAGGGCTCATCCGAATTGCCAGGCCGTTGCTGCCAGTTTTCCTCCGTCGGGCCACGATTCCAGCCCTCATCCCTTCTTCCCTCGAATTCTCGTTTTCCTGGTCCAAACTCCATGCCGTATTCTAAGTGACAGAACAAACCAACAACCAGAATTACGCAAACATTACATCAAAGTGACAACCCTCATCTCAGCACAAGGCATATGCTGATCATGATAGGATTCGAATAAGCAAGATTATACAATCTGCTACCCCTCAGTGGTAAGTGTACACCCAGCTATGCAATTTTAACTTGAAGAATGTATTTGCATTTTTGGTCTAAGGACCACTTCGCAGGACATCAAGTAGGTTTTGCTATCTATAGAATGGCCCTGACCACAGAAATATATAATTTCCATCACTTGCTCAAGGGCACCAATGGATTATCAGTATGACCCCCATTGCTCGTTAGAACAGGACAACACTTTAATATCAAAAGCTTCATCTGAGAACACAAGATTCTTTACACAAAGCAGAAGACACGGGAGGGGGGGTATTGTAATTATGTACTGCGTTAGTAATCAGTTAATTAGTATGTGTTTCCCCTATAAGAAATTGTAATTGTAAAATGTATTATTTAATAATACGCTTCCAGGCCGCACTAAGCCTGTAGCTGTCAGAGCGATTAAAGTTATTTGTATTGCTCTCAATTTAAATGGATTCTCTAATTAGTCTTGGTCAGTAATAATTAGTTTTACACAACACTTCAACGTTATAAAAATCAATTGCGTGGCCTTGTTGGCAAGCATGTTATGCCACTGCGGACAGTTGTATTTGAGAAAATGTAATATTTCTTTGGTGTTCTTTTAGTCTTAAGCGGTTACATCCCGTCTGTCCAATATAGCATCTGCCACATACCCAATTAATCCGATATACAACTTCTGTTGATAATTTAGGCAATTCGTCTTTAGTACAAGATACTCGTTTTTTTATTTTGTGTATTGTACCAAATCTTACTTTAATGTTTTGCTTTCGCAAAACACGGGCTATTTTGTCAATTACTTCTGGGATATGGTATTTTAATTATTTTAATAATCAGATCATTTTCAGCAGTGTTGCTTTGCAATCGTGATTTGGCATTGTGCTCTGTTAATTTGAGCATTGTTGTAGCCATTCTGTCGTAGTGCTTCTTTAACATGTTTAATCTCTCTCCCTAGACAATTAACTGATTACTAATCTTTTATATAATTACAATACCCCCCCTCCCGCCTCTGATCTCTGCACCTGATTGGGTTAAATGATGACGTCACTCTGCTGCTCTATTTAAGACCGGGAGCAGGTGGAGGGCTTCACTATTCTGGCAAATCGCCTGAAACGTCGTACTCGAAAATTGTAAATATTGTGGATTCACTCTTCAACACACCGGTGGGCTAAAGTAGTGAACTATTTGTCTTTTGTCAACCTGACACATTTTTTACTGATTGGCCGTGTCGGGTGGTGGAGGGTTGCGACACATTTATTAATAATGCAATCTAACCCAAAAACCTTTATTACGAATGAACACAACAGTTATTTCACGGGGCTTCCAACCTTCAAAGTGCCTTTGCCGGCCGTGGTCATCAGGGCCAGGTGGCCCACGAAACTCGGGGTTGTCAAACTCATCCTGATCAGCAAGGGATCCCCTGCGTTCCAAGGGGGCCTGGAAATCTCGCGGTTCTTCCTTCACAGGATCCCCACCAAATTCCTCCTGATGCAGCATAGGTCTGCCGCCTTCACCTGCCAACCAACAATAAGAACATAGCAAACAATTAAGAACCACGTGTAAGCAAAGCAAAGAATAACAATGACAATAAATGGCACTCCGAGTTTCAAGACTCCTTTATAGGAGGGTTCTTCATTGGGAAGTGTGGCCGATTGTTTTTCCATAAGTACTTTGCGTGCCAAAGAAAACCGTGTGACCTGGTTAGGGGTAGACAACACTAAAATGGCGATGACACAGATGAGACCAACCTGCTCTGCCATTCCCAAGCTAACATTGTTCTTTGTAAGTTAAGAATGCTGTTCACCGTCATTAGGTCGGTCACACTTAATGCACGAGCGGCGAGCGGGCTCGGGCTGCCACGTTGACCTGTGAGAATGCTGCCTGGCGAGTGGATGACGGATTGCGTCTGGACGAAAGCGTGCCCTCACCTCGGACTGAACCTGCTGTGCTCCTGTTTGGGGTCGGAATCCTCGCTGGTCCTGATGATCCCTGCTACTCGCGACATTGGTTGTTTTAGCCGACAGTGATTGTGGGGGGAAAAAAGGAAGATTAATTAAATATCACCATTACATCATATACTATCATATACAGTACATTCAGAAATATTCAATATTTGATACAACGGTGCTAAATATAAGCGATTTAAACAGCCCTTGACGGGAATGAAGACAAGTATTTGGTCATGGATTTAGAATGATGTAGTAGTCGCATTGACATTGGTGGTGGAGTGTAAATCCTGATGGTTTATTGCAGCCTAATTTCGATGTACCTAGTAACATAAGGTCTTAAACTGTTCCTGGCAAACAGTAAGTTGTTGAGAACTTTTTAAAATTTTGGAACAAAATGACTTGAATATTGAAAATAAACACTTTCAAATGACATGGATATAGTTAATCTTTTACCGATTAACGTGGATATCCAGATAAGCCCATTACCACAGACTTGACAGCATCTTCAATGATCAACGAGCGACATCAAGAAAATCCTGCTCATGTCAAGACTAAATTTCAGGAGGGTCGCACATTAGAATCTTTGGTAATTTCCATTTTTTCACATGTAGAAGGAACCCAGAATGTCTTGGATAAACTCACACATACTGGGGAGGTTAACACTCACAGCTCCACACACAAATGTATAAAGGAATCCTTTGCTGCGCTCCCATCACCTGCCCACCGTGCTACCCGAACGCATCGGTGCATAACAACACGAGAAATGTGTGCAAACTCACCGAGTGCCCTGGAGGGGCATCTCCCAAGAGCCCCTGCCTCAGCGGGGGTCCCCGTTGATGTGCCTGCCCCTGTCCTTGCGGGGGTCCGTGCTGCTGCAGGCTCGCAGGCGACAGTCCCCCAGGTCCACTGGGGCCTTGGTGACCACTGAACGGCGATGAATTGGGCCCCTGATTTGGGCCTCCTTGGCCGTCAGGCGGCTCAAAGAGCTGCCCCCCCCTGGGTCCGTCGCTGGCATTTTGCTGCGGACCCTCACGAGGAGTTCCGATGAATTCCGAGGACCCGGCTTGCAGAGAGCTGCGTGGTGAGAGTGGCGGTCCCTGAAATCCGCCGGACTGGGGTCCAAAATGCTGGGGGCCCTGCTGTGGTCCCTGCATGGAGCCCGGCATGGGTCCTTGGACCTGTATTGGTCCCTGACTCTGCATGGGGCCCTGGCCTTTCATGGGGCCCTGGCCCTGCATAGGGCCGGGGCCCTGGCCCTGCATGGGGCCGGGGCCCTGCATGGGTCCCTGGCCCTGGCCCTGCATGGGGCCCTGCATGGGGCCCTGGCCCTTCATAGGTCCCTGACCCTGCATGGGGCCCTGACCCTGCATGGGGCCCTGACCCTGCATGGGGCCCTGGCCCTGCATGGGTCCCTGGCCCTGCATAGGTCCCTGGCCCTGCATGGAGCCAGGGCCATGCATGGGGCCCTGACCCTGCATGGGGCCCTGACCCTGCATGGGGCCCTGACCCTGCATAGGGCCCTGACCCTGCATGGGGCCCTGACCCTGCATGGAGCCGAGTCCCTGGCCCTGCATGGGACCCTGCATGGGGCCCTGGCCCTGCATGGGGCCCTGACCCTGCATGGGGCCCTGGCCCTGCATGGGGCCCTGACCCTGCATGGGGCCCTGGCCCTGCCCCTGCATGGGTCCCCGGCCTGGCATAGGCGAGGGCATTGGTCCCTGCATTGAGATGGACGGTGCCATGTTTGAAGGGCCGCCTTGGGACGGTGGCCCATTTGGGGGTCCTCCTTGAGGCCTCAGTTGCTGCCCTTGCATGTGCAGTGAAGATGGTGGCCCGCCACCCTGCATGCCACCCGATGGGGGCGTCTGCCCCATTCCTGGACCACCAAGCCCTTGCTGAGGCCCACGGGGACCTTGCGGGCCACCGGGTCCAAGTGGTCCAGACAGACCCATTTGTCCCTGCATATTACCCATGTGGCCGGGCATACCGTGAGGCCAGTTCGGTCCAAGGCCGGGACCTTGCTGCATATTGAGCCCAGGAGGCCCTTGCGGTCTGAACTGGCCCATGGGCCCACCAGACATCATGCCTGGGGGCATGTTGGGAGGGAAGTGCTGCTGTAGGCCAGGCATGGGTCCCTGGGAAAAGCCTTGAGGGTGCATATTTTTCTGCATCATGCCCAGCGGGGGCTGCATTTGGACAAGTCCTTGATTCTGCTGTTGGTTTTGAACTTGTTCCATGAGTTTCTGAGTAATACGGTCAGACTTCAGTTGCTGAAAAACCAATGGCAGAAATGGTAAATTAATTTTAAATAATACACATTCATATGAATAACTTTGACATGAGAAAAAACTATATTTTAACAGTAGGTTCAACATAATTCCCAGAAAAAACCCAATAGATCTTACAGCACTTGCTGGTAAATATTATGTTTTGGTCACCCGCTCATTCACAAACATTATTCAAGTTCCCACGGTTCTTTTCCCTGAGAATGAATTCCACAGTTAATGTTTTTCATGTGCAATGTCTCACCTTGCACAACATTATTTTGGGCAATTCTTACAACGTGGTACTCACCGAGTAACAAACATTACCATATTATTCGTTACACCACCCAACTAGTATTAAGGCAATGCTTTGCAGCAACCCTGGGGTCGAATATAATTTCTATTACAATAGCAATGTTAACTGAAATTACATTTACAATGACATGGTGATTGCAATTCATAAAAAATTGGACAATTACAATCTAAAGCTTTCGTGACTGCAGGGAATCATCTTCTTGGTTCTTTCAGGAAAGTCACGTAGAAGGGAAATAATAAAATAAAATAATTAAAACATCATAAAATTACAAATTATTTTATTATGTTTTCTTTTTATTATTTTATTATTTCCCTTCTACGTGACTTTACCGAAAGAACCAAGAAGATGGACAATTACACTTAGTAATTCACCTTGTATTGCTCAATTCTCAAACCACAACAGCTCTTAAGTCTTGCACGGGGAAAACATCGTAACGCAATAGAGCCCGTGTCAAACCTACCTCGTATAGAGCGGGGTTTGTGTATTGCAGTGCCGTCAGCTCTTGACGAATCTCCGCCTGCGACTTCATCTTGTCTTTCTTATCTTCAGGAGGCTGAACTTTCACATTGCCACCCACAGGGAGCATAGGAAGTTTGTTCTGCTGCCAAGCCTGCAAATACAAAAACAGTAATAACAAAACATGAATACGTAGCCAATTTAAGGCATTTTATTTAGGTTACTCACTGCTCTCAATATTCTCATTTAAAATCGTAATTTCTGCTTTAAGCACAAGGAAAGTAACGATAAGGGTGGTCAGGTATCAAAGCAAAACAAATACTTTAAATATGAATAGAAGCCACAGTATAAGAAGAGGGTTTTCCCCTTTTTATGGCAAAAAAACTGAAACCTTTTTACGAGGAATCATGTCTGCATTAACCACAATACTTGTGGTCAGTATGCAAACTAAAAACACATGACCGCTTGTGTTGCGACCGAAACGTCGTGATTTGTTTTATTTGATTTCTAACTACGTGACTTTACCGAAAGAACCAGAGTACACTCGGATAATAGATACACTGTCCTTGAAACTGATTGGTCCACACCAGAGACAGCTTTCTTTTGAGCCTCGTGTCAAACGGTGTGAGACCAGAGGATGCCAAAAAAAGAAGCCACAGTGTTAAAATGAACCAAGCATATTATAAGCAATCAATTGCCACATCGTAATGCATCTCTTCATAAATAGTTAATTCTAATGCTAAAGATTCATGCATGATTATGTACAATCTATACAAGTAATATGCAAAAGTATATTTAAGCGAATAAGAGGTGGTGCGTGGATGCTGGCTGACCTGCTGGAACTGCGCGGGGATGGGTTTGGAGTAAGGGATCTTCTTTGTGGGGAGTTTCTTCTGTTCTTTAATGAGCTCCTCCACACCCCAGTCCAAGCCTGGGATCGCCACTTCCGGCTCAGCCTCCACTACTTTCTCTGTTTGGTGTCAATGAAAACCATTAATACCCCACGGGAAATATACATTTAGTGAGATAACAAACTCCGTACACAACCGTGTTTTTAAATGTTTGCATTTGAGCACTCAAGAAATGTTTGAACGACAGAGTTGTATTATTCTGCAGCTATGATAACTTGTATTCCGTCTATATGTATTTCATTATTGATTCTTACAATGTAATGCATAGTAACTGTCCTCACTCAATAATACACATATTTCAGTTGCATTTATAGCCGAAACATTTAACAATTTTAAAGTGCAGCAGCCTGGTTATTTTGGCCGAATTATTTAAATGTGTTTATTGTGCACAAACAACATTTTTCAAGTTTATGAACAATTAGATAAAATTACGTCACAAAACTAGGGAGGTACCTTTTTGCTCTTGTTCCAGCACTTGCTTGAGCTGCTCAGCGATGCCCATGCCTGGGATGTTGGGAGCACTGAGAGGCTCATTGTCATCTGTATAAAAACACGCAAATTATACTCGCATCTCTCTCCTCCACGCACTTTTGTATTGTGAAATATACAAGAGCGGATTGAAAAATCCACGGCCTGACACAGTCACGTCGCTACAACAAATGGAAAAATTTCGATTTAAAGCTTTCGTGACTGCAGGGATTCATCTTCTTGGTTGTTTCGGTAAAGTCACGTAGAAGGGAAATAATAAAATAATAAAAATAAAACATAATAAAATAATTCTCACGACGCTGTCTTTCCGACAGACCTGTTCTTCACCTGAGGACGGCTGCTTGCGTTGTGGCCGAAACGTTGTGAGAATTATTTTATTATATTTTATTTTTATTATTTCCTTTCTATGTGACTTTACCGAAAGAACCAAGATAATGGGAAAATGTTTAGTTAACAGTACAATACTATGATTTAGGATCATCAATTGAGCAACTCACATTTTTTTTTATTGATGTTCAAATCGTATTGTCTGCGTGTAAACTTAATACAGTCAGGATCACCGGGAAAACTCTAAAAAATACACGTGAACCAAACTTGGCTCTGAGTAACTCCGCATTTCCACAATTAAAGAACTACTTTTTGGGAAAGCAATCTCGAGTGACGTCTCCTATAAATGAGTGGAGGGAGCTGGTAGGAACGTTGGGTTGCTCGGTCAATGGCCAGGATCAACGGCGGCGTGGTGTATTCCGCAAATATGCCCGACTGTGAGGGCGGGCACAAGCCGGCGTGAGTAGGTTAAACGTTGAGTTTTATAAGGGCACCACGGGGTGACCAGCCCCTCCACACCCAGCCCCACCCCTCCCACCCCCCACCCCTCCCACCCCCCATCCAGCCCCTCCCCACCCTCCCCACCCTCCCCACACCACCCTCCCAGCCCCACCCTCCCCTCCCCACCCAGCCCCTCCCTGCACGACGGACGGACACAATAATCCCCTGTGGACTGGTGTAACCAGAGGTTCCTACCAGTACAAAGCAGGTGCATTGCACTTCCATGTGAGGCCACCAACTTTTCAACTATGTGTACAGTTTCGATTTAAAGCTTTCGTGACTACAGGGATTCATATTCTTGGTTCTTTCGGTAAAGTCATGTAGAAAGGAAATAATACAAATAAAACAATAAAATTCTCACGACGTTTAGATTGCAACACAAGCAATCATCATCAGGTGTGAAAACCAAAGCAAGAATATTTTTAAAAAGTGGCGCTTTTTTTTGCTGTGGTTTTCACACCTGATGATTGCTTGTGTTGTAATCTAAACGTCGTGAGAATTTTATTGTTTTATTTTTTATTATTTCCCTTCTACGTGACTTTACCGAAAGAACCAAGAATATGTGTACAGTGATTCATAAAATCATATGGGCTCATGGTACATACCGTATTCTGCAATCATATCATCTGACATGTTTCCTGGTAGGAGGTTGAGGTTGTATCGGTCTCTCATCTTGTCTCCTGGCCTGTTCCTCGTCCAAAATTTACTTCACTCACAAATAAACAAAATGAAAACAAAACAAATTAAGTGATGATACTTCGTTGGCAGTTGTGCAAATAACAAAAAAACTCAACAGTGTCTCAAGTATACTGCATTAAAAGAAAAGAAAAAAGATATAAAAAAAATGGGTGACTTTCAGGCAAAGACGCTTCTTCGTGGCACATTAATGGTGTACAAGCTATGAATGATTGCCCAAAACGTCCCCTATCATATTTTCATTTAAAGGGAATGTTATTGACATACAAATACAAGAAGGCACTACAGTATTAATTTTCAATTACCCACAGATAAATTACATTTCTTATTTGTGTTAATTAAAAATTATCTCTTTAAACTAAGAAAAGTATGCAGTACACCTCAACAATGGCACGTTACCAATATGAGAACAATTATGATGATTAATGTACAATCGACCACTGCGTGAAGCCTAAGACAATTATTTACATTGAGAACTTCAATTTAAACAGCATCAAGATGTGACTGCTGTATATAATTTGTGGACATGCACACCACAGATATCAGAGTAAATAGTCCTGTTCTCAAGAATGTTCCTCCATTCAAGCTTCTGTCTGGCCATCGAACACAGACGGTCACACTGCATCGCACGTTTTCAGATGAGCTTCTGCGGCCGTCTGGAACGCTCTTACTTCCGATATTCGGCAGCCACTGGAGCTATACACTTTGAAATCAAGATTGAAAACTAATTTCTTAACAACTCCATTTGGTGTTTAGTTTTTTGTCCTTCCCCTGCACCTCCGATTAGGATGGTTGGCTACGTACGGCGCGAAAGAACTTCAACATACATACACAGAAGCGTTTCCCTGCAAGGATCAGTTTCGGGATACAGCCTTCCCAGGCCCAGTGGACACACGAACCTGGTGTGGTCATTGGACCCCGAACAGAGGATGTGTCCCAGCGGGTGCCAGGCCAAGCTCCAGATCATGCCTTCATGTGCCACGTCTGTGCCACCAACTTCCTTCTCCACCCTGCCAAATGGATGTGTGTGTGTGTGTATCACCACACAAACACACAAAAACAAAGATCACTCGTATAGCCTTAACAGACTGTTGGGGCAAGTGTTGTTAGAGAATAGCACCTATGAAAAGCCGGCCAGCATCACGGCTGGCCGCCTTTGTCTCCCCAATGGCGATATTTACACATCGCACCAAGTACTCGTTTTTGAGGCCGAGTCAACCTAGGAGAGGCCCAGGACCGATTCAGACAATCGTCACGGGAGTGGACCATAAGCAGGAATTGAACTCGAGTCGTCAGGTTCGTAGTGCAGTAGGCTAACCGTTACACAACCGCTCCGCACACACACAATTCCGCACCTCCGATTAATATTGGTTGGGTACATATGGTGCGAAAGAAGTTCAACATATATACATAATCAAACACACACCAATAGGACAGTCACCAATATGTGCACAAATATAGATATAAGTATGATACGTACGAATATACTTATTTTAGTTCAGCCCTGTTAAATATATAAAAGCTTGGTTTTATTAATCCTATTGTACAAAGCAGAAACCTGGAAGCTGAAAAAGTAGACAAGCAGAAGCTAAGAATATTTGAAACGTCCATACTTGGAAATAATATGGGCTAAACATGAATACTGACATTAAAAGGAACTAGGAATATAAAGTGACATCATAGACAATCTAAATTAGACAATTGTCTTACTTCGCGCACATAGATAGGATGGACGAGTAGAGATTCCCCAACATATTCACGTGGCAACATCAGTGGAACAGGTATTGGAGGACGCCCAAGGAAAAATGGCTCGATAACATCAAATAGGATTGTGTGGTACTAGGAATCACACTCCCACAAGTGGATAGGTTCGCCAAAGAGAAAGGCAGTTGACTGTAAACGGGCTGCCAGTGCGACACTTATCAATGTCACCGAGGCATTGAGTAATCAATAAAAAAAGTTAACACGCAGAACTCACCCGACATGCCAGAACAATAATGATCCATCTGATCCTCCACTGGTGAAGAAACCCTCATGTATTGGATGCCAAGCCACGGCTAAAAAAAATAGAAAACCAAACATACACAAACATTGCAATCAGGCTGGTGTTTAAATATTGTGTAGACAGAAGCTATTCATCTGAACTGTTTGTAACAGTAGTTCACCCCATTCCAGGCATAGTGGCGCATGCATCAAATACCACAGTTTTGGAGGCGAGATGAGTGCCTAGCACAGAGTTCACCACGCGTATTAGCCTCCCAATGGCCAGTTGATGGCAGGACAGGAAGGCTGCTGCTGATCTCTTTTAAAACACATTCCTGCGGAGGGAGCTGGTAGGAACGTTGGGTTGCTCGGTCAATGGCCAGGGTCAACAGCGGCGTGGTGTATTCCACAAATATGCCCGACTGTGAGGGCGGGCACAAGCCGGCGTGAGTAGGTTAAACGTTGAGTTTTATAAGGGCACCACGAGGTGACCAGCCCCTCCCCACCTAGCCCCACCCCTCCCACACCCGACCCAGCCCATC